GGAGCCAGCACAAGAACAACCTGAGTGGCATGGCAATCAGTAGTGAGCAGTACATTTCACACAGGGCTGCATTCACTCTTCATCATGGTGGCTACTCTTACCCAATGCACCTTGACTGATTTATGTCTGAAAAGAAAAGAGGAGCAACAGCTGTAAGACTTGTTGTTGTTTGTAATCCAGTTGGTGTCACAGTAACAATAGTCAAAACTTACTGTAGCTTGGTACCAATCTGCCACAGAAGAGACTTGTCTACTGTGGATATCCTTACTGCAAGTAGGACCAAAGCCATCATTGGGGCCATGAAACTGTTTCCTCTCCATACATCTCCCACAGTAGTCTCTCTTGCAGGACTGTGCAACTCCCTCCACAGCAGTGACATGGTCACTCTTCTTGTGGCCACACTTGTTGCAATATTTTCTGCTCCTGAAAATCATTCTTCTTCTTGGTCTTGTTGGTGCTGTGGCTGGCACAGAAGTGAGTGCGACTTGATAGGCAGCAGTGGCAGCAGCAGCAGGGGTGAGACTTCCATTGACAGCAGCAGCAACCAATGCACCCACAGCAACCTCAGCATTCAAAGTTGTTGGATTTCCAAAAGGAGTATTTCCTGTGTTGTTGTACTGGGATGGCTCTGTTGTGTGAGTTCTTGGATTCGCTGACTCTGGAAGGGCATGCCGATTTGCACGCAGAGTTCCATCAAGGGTAGCACGGTCACCATCGTCTGTTGGCAGAACGGCCTGTAAACTCTCCTGTTGCTGAAGCTTGTCATAATGCTGCTGAAGCAGAACTCGACTCTTGTATCTTATTTGTAACACATTGGATTGATCCCCTTCAGTTGTCCAGAGTCGGAACCTTCTTCCACACTCAGCATTCCAATCTCGCTCGAATGCTTTGTAACTGGTTGGGCCTGATGACACATTCCTTTGATACCGGGGAGACCATTCAACAAAGAGATCGGCTTCAGCTTTGTCGACATCGGTTGCCGTAGTGGCACTATCAGGGGATCGGAAGGGTATCCATTCACATTGATTTGAAAGACGTCTGAAGGCTTCAAGAGTGGATTCCCTGGTTGTGTCGGTGGGTAGCAGTTTGTCGAGTTCTTGCTGGATGAGGAGGCGATTCAAGCGATCATTGGCACTTGCCGCTTCACTAACTCGCTCAGCATCTGCCTGTTGTTGCTGTGCTCGGTTATCTCTAAGTGATGCTTGATACTCTTCTTCGGTAGCGAATACCTCTATGTCCATGTCATCGCCAAGTTGGCCACCAAGAACTCGCTGGATTTCTTCTTGCGATTCTGGAACAACTTCCTCATCATTGGCGACTGTCTCCTCTTCCCCATTTTCCCCGGATTGATATCCAGCGCCATCGGCTTCTGTTGGATTGGACACCTCAGCTGTCTCGGGAGGTGGGGCTGAATAGTTGAATCCAAGGTATTCCTTGTATTCTGCGGATCTCTTGGGAGCGGCAACTTCATAAGGCCGGTCATTGAAGCCAACCTTCTCTGCATATGCGTTTATTAGCAATAGCTTCTCCAGATTGACAATCCCATAATCTTTGGCACCAAGTCTTGTCACGTTTCTTTGGTTGTTCCTTTCTTCAAAGAAACATGATATAATACGATCGCCCCTGTGCACACCTAGTCAATAGTCAGTAGCCAAAAACGCGATGTTAGCATAAGGACGAAGTTGAAGCGACTGACTGGATCATGCTCTTACCAATGTAGTTTGCAAGCAAAAGAAGAGCAAGATCAAGGTTGTCTCGCTCATTTGTGTTTGTTCCACGGGCAACATAAGTTACATCTGTCACTGGGTTGCGTCGGTGGATCTCGACAATGCTGCTTGGTGGATCGCTCAAACAGCCACAGTCAACATGTACTAACTGTCGCCTTACCACATCAGCGAATTTCCAGTTCTTCAGAAAAAGACGTGGTCTTGGAGAGGTGTCCCCTTCTCTTCTCTGGGACAGAACTCGGTAGGTCTCAGTATCCTTTGACTGGATGTAGTTCAATACAGCTTCGACATTACTCCTAAGTGTAGCTGGATCAGGGATAATGGAATTGGCCTCCTTCATAATCTCTTTGGTGGTGGGTTCGCGATCCAGTTTCAGTTCAAGCTTCCCTTTAGCTCTTTCGAACTCTGCAGGGGTAATGACAAATATTGCTCTTGACATGAGAGCACGGAAGATACCTGCCTGCACTGATGTTGCATCCACCAAGAGCTCATTCCATCGCTTCAGCCAGTGAAACGGATCGAGCTTAATGAGAACATGTTTCCCAAAGATGTCACCAAGGATGTTCTTCACACCGCAGCAGTTGTCTACATAAACGACCTTGACTGCACTTTCCATTGGCCCAACTGGATTGCCTTTGGTCGCATGTAGATTCCTGTTCAGCCGGTCACGGAGAGCTGTGAGATCTTCCTTGATTTCACTGAACGATTCCGATTGTTTCAAAGCTTTCCAGAACAATGTCAGCCCATCTTCATTCTGAATAGTAATGATGCATTGGTATGGAGGGAAACTCTGCCCTTGCTTTGTCCATACTCGAATCTTCTGAGCAAGCTTGTAGTTGAAGTCAACCTTCAACAAAATGGCGTTGGTGCCACACATCTTGGCCTCCTGGAATGCACGACGATGCATGAAGTAACTTGTCACGATGCTGTCAATCCGATACTTGGATAGGGAGCGCCCATTATATCCCAATTTGTCATCGAATTTCGAGAAGGGAACCGGACCGGATTCATTATCCTGGATTGCTTCTGCTGTCTCTTCCTCTTCTGCAACCAGGTCTGGATTGTCCAGACGGTATTGACGAAGTACATCAAGGGCATTGTTGTACTCGGCAATTGATAAGTCCAGTTCATCCCCAAGGTCACTCGCAACTTCTTCCAACTTGTCAAAATGGGCATGGACAATTAACTTCCAGCGGCCCAAGGGTTTGATGGAATGCTTGTAATCCCTTGGATCAGCTGCCAATAATTCGAAGCAGGTGGAAATACCATTATCCAACAATTTGCGAATTTTTGTTGATCCCAGTGACCGCATAATGTTCCTTGATCCATGATGGTTGTGGTTGTCCTTGGATGGTAGCAGGGAACGAAGAGTTATGTCTGTGGAAGCCCGATTTCTTGCTGATTCAAGTTTGGATCTGGAAGATCGTACGTTGGCTGCAGCTTTCATCTTGTTGTTGCTAAGAGTTTGATATTCGCTGTTGGGATGAGCAATGGGAAGCAACTCTCGAATTGTTTTCTGCTTCTTCTTTGGGCGGATTTTGTCAAGTCCTATGGCTGTGAGATAGAGTTGGTGGTCTTCATAGTAGGCAAGCTTGGCCATTCTGGCAAGTTTCTTTGCAATAGTTGCGGTAGCTTCTCTGTGAGAACTCTCGACAATCAGGCTGTGGAGCTCATCATCTACCGCAAACCCATGCCCCAGGAAAAACGTAAAGTAGCCATAGTACAGTGAAGAGTCCAGCTGCATAGACTCTTTATTATACCCTGCAAACCGTCTGCCGCATCTTGTACATAGATAGAGCATGGTGTCAAGGTATTGAATGCGTGACACCCCATACAACACTTTTGGGCAATTCACCCACCGGCTCTTGTTCAGATCAACCGCGTTCCTCTTCTTGCAGTGCGGACAACAAGGAACATGGTTGGGCACTAGGATGTGTGGCACCCAAGCAGCGAGGGGCTTGACATAGAAGTTCTCCACTGTGCTCTTTTTTCCACGTTGGTTCAACAACATACTGTCATTCCTTGCGCCTTTCCTCGATGTGATTCTCCTCCAGTCACATGGTGGCTTGAAGTAGTTTCGAGGGTCTGCGTCAATGGCCTTTCTAGTATGAATAACAAACCTCCACTGTGGTTCTGACAGTTGCTTTGGCTTTCGAGGTGTTGTCATGGTGGTGCTTTATTACTTCCACGGTAAATGGCGAAAATTGTCGATTTGTCATTGTTCAAGAGCGGGGTAAGGTTAGAGGTTAGGAGCGAAAATTTCAGCCCTCTAAGTAGAATATTTCGGGGAGGTGTGCAGACAGTCCAAATAGAAGTAGAGTTTAACTACGGAAAGAGACAGGAAAGAAGGTGGTAGATATAGAGGGAAGACATTTCGATATTACACGTGGAAGTATATGAAGGTAGAGGACTATATGGCCGTTGCCATTAGTCGCTCACCTCCTCCCCCTCTTTCTTTTTTCCTCCTGCGGGACACCAACTCCCATCACGACCCAGTCGAGTGAAGTCGAGTGACTCGACTCAGCGAGTCCCTGACTCCACTCAGTTCCACAAAAGGTCACGAAACGGGATTGAAGGAATTGGCCTCTGGAAAAACAAAATTGGGAAAGTTTCCTGGAAACTGACAGTGGCAGTGAACAATTGGAACATAATTCAATACTCATCAGCACTCGTACTAGACTATTGTAAAAAAGAAAAAAAGAAGGCTGGCCCGTGTTGCCCAAACCGTCTACTACATGTAGTTGTATCTAAATAATTGAATGCACGGAAATGTCCTTTAACCCATTTCAAGAAACTGACGTTTCCGACCTTTCAGCGATCCGACGCGACTTTAAAAATACCACGCATGAAGGGGCCTTTTAAAATTTCTGTCTTCCCATTTTGTTTGCGGCATTCGGAGATAGCGACGGTCGGTTGTGCTGTTGTGCTACAGCTGTACATACATGTACGGTAATGGTACGGTACTACTGCAGTAATCACTAGTACTACCGGTAGTAGGTGATCTACACAATGGCGAATTCGGGACTGCACACTCAGAGCACACGAAATCTCTTAATAAAAAAAAAAAAAGGCCCATCGCGCGATGATGCTGGTACACCGGTGCACTACTGGTAGATCCCAACGGGCTTGGCCACGGTATGTGCTACATGAACACATGAACCACAGCCTCAGTTATCAACTCCCAAGCTCGACATCAAAAACCTCGCAAACAGCGGCCACAGCCTACCTAGGAAAAGCGCACCCCAACACTACATCACGTTACTACAGTGTACTATGACATCCTCTACAGCAACAGTGGACAACACAACAGAAGGGCTTGGTTCAGAAGATTTTGGTCCTCTGGGTGATCCTCTTGTCCGAGAGTCTGAATTGACGGAGAATTCCACCTACTATGAGGCTCTCGTGGCTCTCCCTTCAGATGAGACTATGAACCAAATGTGGCTCATTTGGAGCGTTCTCCTCCTTGCCATTGGCATCTATTCAGCAATCATCTTTCTCCCCGTTGCATTCACCAAGAAAGTTCGGACAAAACCCTTCAACCTGTACCTGATATTTCTCATGATCCCCGACACAACTGGCACTCTGTTGTGTGGAGCCAATTGTCTGGCCAACTATCTGGCTGGAGAGTTTGCTGGTGGTGCAGCCACCTGCTACTTCCAATCCTTCTACCTGATCTCGTGGATTTCCATCAATGCTTGGCTGAATGCTTTAATCACAAGGAAGCTGCTTGCCATGCTTCAATCCAGCAACCACTTTATCAGGTACCAGCCACCCACTCTCTTACAAGTCACAAAGGAATGCCTGCTGGTCTATCTATGGTGCTTTTTTGTGGCAAGTTGGGGTATCTATGGAGCGGCTTGGGAGTGGTGGCCTCACCATACAATCTTTCGACTCGCATGTATCCCAGGACCTGTCGATGATACCAGTATGGTCTTTTTCTATGTTGTCTACTTCCCCTGTCTGGTTGGCATACCCTTCTGCTATGTACTCTATGCCTCATTCCGAATCTGGAGAGAGGGACTACTGCCACCACCTGGACGACGACGAACTCTAGCAATCTACTTTTTCCGCCTGGCGTTCGTCTTTATTGTCATGTGGGTTCCAAGCATTATTCTGATGTTTGTCACTCCAGCTTTTACCAACCCATGGGTGGAACATGTGGGTGGTACCTGGTCACATTTGCAAGTGTTTGTTTCCTCTTCAGTCAGTCTCATGAAACCAGATATCTGGGAAGCATTCATTGACTTCTATACCAAATGCACCCTGCTTCGGAAAGAAGAAGTGGACCAGGATATGCCACCTTCTTCCTGGATAAGTACAGTACCAATACCAGGATTCTCTGATGCTTCAACTCACTCACATGTTCGGCCATTTGGGGTCACAAAGAAGCCACTAACTCTTGAGGAAGAAATACACAGTTTAGAACTAATAAAGTTTCAATTGGAGTCAGAGTCCAAACGGAAGCCATCGTCAATACCCATGATGGACTATCGTGTAGGAAATGATGAAGAAGAGGATGACGAAGATCCATATAAAGAGGCCTGCAGGGCAGATTGTGGTGTCAACAAAGGCAACAATGATCATGCTAGTGACATTGAATCCTTGGGCAGTTTTGCAAATGAATGATTGTGCATTGAAGAAAAGAAGCTGTGCTGCGATAATAGTACATCCACGAAGCTGGACTCACTTGCACTGGTTGTCTTCTAGGAAACAGAGTCTTTGTCGGTGCAAGGGTGGATACTTGTTTGAGATTGGAATAACCAGGTTGCCCATGCAAGCATTCTTTGAGAAGCTATCCTCTTTGAAACATGAGGCAATCCTGTATGCAAACGAAAAACATGATATTTGCTGGTTCGAAGTTGCCCTCACTTGCGATCTGTCCGATTGTATTTTCCTGAATGCCTCGAATGGAACATCGCACGGATTCTGCTGCCAGTGAGAGGCGTTGCATCCTTGTGCAAATCATTGCAATCTCTTGACCCTAAAACCAGGAGCGTGAGCGTGTCCCACGCATCGGATAGGTTCGAGGCGTCGAGGCTTACCAACTAGGAGCGTGAGCATCTACACCTGGCAACCATAGCTTCAGGTGGGCGCTTACTTGCAAGGAATACGGTAGATTCATCAGGCCAGCATTGGACACCAAATGAATCCAATGCTTGGAATAAATGGGAAGATTGGTAGCTGGATTGGTCAGTGCGGCTATCTGGACGATGTCAACTCTTGTACCGGTATGATTGAAGATTCAAGTCAATTCTCGCACGACAAAGAATAGAGATGCCATCGCTGCGTATGGAGCCTTACTGGTTTGATACATCGCCTTACATAATGCCCTAGAAAATGCGTTGCCGAAGCTTCTTCATTTCAAAAACGTGGTGAATTTAGTATGTTAGCACCATTGGCTCACGTGGAGTCCAGCATTCTTGCCACCAAAAGTGTTTTCGCTCCAAGGCGAGGGCCAGCAAAGCTGTTGCTAGGCAGGCCACAAGGAAACCCTCTTGCGGCTCACTCCAAACAGATTGTCGTGCTGTGTTCTGAAGGATTCGAAACAATCTTGCCTACCTTGTCTGCATCGCACAGACGCTGCGTGTTGATGATGAATTGCTTGCTCTGCTTTTCAAAAAGAAGAAGAGCAAACCGACCTCCTTACTCTGACGGTTCATATCCCACCTTGCCCACACCGGCCAACAATTCCGAAGCCAAGTCTTCTCCCATGGCATTAATAAAGCCACGAATCCACGCCTTGGCGGCATGATCCTCGTGATTGGCCTTTTTGTTAAAGTTATTGAATCGACCGACCCCTCGTGGATTGTAGGATCCGACCCTTTTGGTCCCATTTCGTCCCGATGCACTTCCATCGTGCAGACGCGGATCGTCTCGAAACATGTACTGTTCCAGCGTTCCCAAATAATGATGGACTCGAATGAGGGCATGTTTGTTCAAATTCAATGCCCGCATTTGATCGGGATCGGGACACGCCACGGTGGAAACATGATGGACTCCTCCAAATGTATGCAAAGACGGGACTCGTTTGAGATGAATGAGATTTTTGCCATTGTAATTGCGTCGTGGTTCTCGATACAAGAATCGTTGCGTGACCATGCCATGGGCATCAATGCCATCGGGTACGTTGTGTTTGACGAGGGCATCGCGTGATTCCTGTGCTCCAAAAAAGAATCGTGGCATGTAGACGCACGTGTGCAAATCGTTGGTACTTTGTTCGTAGTATTTAAGGAGTCGCAAGACACTGCCGGGTTCTTGGAAGGGTACCTGTGTGGTTAAATTGCGAAAGTGGCCACTGGCGTATGACGGAAGAACGTATTCGTCTGAATTGACAATAATCAATTTTCATCGTGATGGTAGTAAAACAATGGGAAGGATAAGATATTTATTTTCTGTGAGATCCACTCAAAGAACCAAGAGCAAATACAAAACAGACCATGTCTGTCTGGTTGCGCACAAGTACCACACGAGTATCAGTAAGATAGTACATTACATACCTGTATCGACCAACATGAGCCATTCTTGTCCGGCATCTCGAAAATGGGAAATACATCTTCGATAGAAATTATTCTGTCGTACCCGATGCATCATGAGGGCGGTATTGTTGTCAAACTGAGCCACGGTGGCGGTAATTTTGGTGGGCATGAAATCCTTGTCTTTCCAAATTTTGACCGACATGAGTTTGCGTTTGTTATAGCGTGCCAAAATCCGTTTGGGAGATGTTTTGGAATCGGGATCAATCACTAGAACCAATTTACGAAGTGGCATGACTTGATAATGATAAGCGAGCCATTCGATCAACCAATGATTGTCATCTTTGATCAGTAGGCAGGCAGCAAAGGTGTCGTTTTTGGGGTCCAGTACGGGAGGTGGCGACAAGTCGGTAAAGTTTTGAATTTCCGGTTCGACCAGTACCTTCTTTTTGGGTTTGGGTTTGCTGCTGTCTTTTTTAGTGCTGCTACTCTTGTTGGCCGTATCGCCCTTTTTACCACTGCTACCGGTAGTGGTCTTGGTGGTGGTGGTGGTTTTCTTCTTGGCAGCTGTAGTGCTTGCAGTGGTTGTAGTAGTTTTGGTCATGGGATGCAATGCCGACGCCGCTTCGGGATCGGGTATCCCGGCACTAGATCCCCCGATGCAAAAGGCAGGCATGCTAATGGACTGAAAGATGGCCGTCGCCGAGGACCCAATCATGATCCCCAATAGGATCCAACGACTGACGGCCAACCAGCTGTTGTTGTTGAGGTTGAGCATGCTATGGAGGTCGTGACTGCGGGTCCGTCGAGGGGCAGTCTGTTCGCTCGATTGGCTGCTGTTGTTGAAGCTTCGTTTCGGCGCCTTGCGATCGTGTTTGCTGCCGCTGTCAGATGGTTGATCGATGCTGCCGTTGCCGTTGGGACTCGTACGGTCGGTATGGCGGATCATCTTGTTTTGACTTCACTTGACGAACTGCGCTGGACAATAGGATACCCGTCTTTCAGTCGCTTCTCACTTCTTGGTGAGCTTCTTGCTTGGTGATCTCTTGACTTCTTTCTTTCCTTCCTTCTTCCTTCAAGCTCAACGATACTACCCAACTGGCGAACCTATCTAAGCATCTAATGAGTTCACGTACTAGTAGTCTAATAACCCAGCCAAGGTGCTCGACGTTGTGGTTCGCGATGTGGTGGTCTTCGTGTGTGGGAAACTTTGGCGCGTGGGGGTCATAGGTGACCATTGTCGCGGTCATGTCATTGGCCCGGATATAACCGGGACTGAAGGTTTAGTCGCGTGCCGGAAAACAACCCTAAATGCCAAAATGAGGGGTATAAGAATCCCTGGTCCGCCCTACAAACTGGTTTGACAGCTCCCCTGGCTTTCTCCACCCAGACCGTCAGATTCGTGTACGATGTACATCTTGAGATACCATTGGTACGTAGCCAATCGCTTGGATGGTGTCTTACCAAGAAAACTAATACTAGTACTAATTAGAGGGTTAAGGAGATAGGAGGATAGCGGTACTGGGCTCGCACCACCAAGCCAGGGCGGGAGGGACCACTTGGTGAGTGCCTCAGCTTCGGCACCAAGGAGACCATCAGCAGAGACTACAAACAGGGTAAAGTGGTGACGTTGGGATAGACAGGTTTGGAGATATTTGCTTTTCTTGTCGCGTTGGCCATTGCGAAGGACCTTGTGAGGATCTTTGCCACCAGGAGAAGCAGCATCAGTTCCGCTGTGGCTATACCAGGTACTAGACTAGTAGGCCGGTGAGCGGTGAGCGGACTTGACTGTGGGAAGTACCTGGGCCTCAGCTCGTGGGTTGTCCTTTTTTAAATTAAGCACAGCTTTTCTGAATCGGTTACAGTAATAGATTTTGAGTTTACTTTTTGACTACTGGGCATGTAGACCTAGAGGGAGGTCAGGAATGTCTGAGCCTCCATAGGATCACTCAGGATTCAGGATCGATCAACAGCCTTAGAAAAGCGTAAAAATAGCTATCATAAAAATCCAGCGAAATTGAGAGGCCTACCGTATTACCGGTACTGGTACCGGTACGCTCGGCTCAGATCTGCATACGTATGTAACTTCTTGATCATGGAATTACCCTCTAATTCCTTTGAACTTTGGAGGAAGTAGTACTCACATAAGTAATAAGGTTCCATTGTGAACTGAGTTCAATCTCTCCACGTGGCCTTGAGTGGATGACATTGTGGGCTGTGGGCTGTTGGCCACGGCCACCCACTTGCACGTTACAAATATAATAAGGGGGGTTTTAGAGTAGGGAAATTATCTACGGAAGCCAGCCGGGGCCAGGCTTAAGCAAAGAACAGTCGAAATTCAGGACTAGGTTCTGTGGGATCAGGGGCAAGAAATTGAGGACCATTACGGGGGGCAAAGGGTTTGGCTTTGCGGGATCCACGGAGACATAAATGGGTAGCTTTCACAAGGGCAATGGAGATACGGGTTACATGTATCGGGTTGGGTACGATATGCAGACAGTTGCAACGAAACAAAGCCATAATCAACTATCCCAACCAGCAGAATAAGGAGGAATAGTACCGTGGCTCTGCTAGTTAGCTAGAGTATGCCATCCTCTACGATTGCAGTGGACGATGTAACAGAAGAGGTTCTGGTGGGTTCAGGAGAGATTGGTCCTCTGGGTGATCCACTTGTCCGAGAGTCCAATTTGACTGGAGGATTCAACTACTATGAGGCTCTTGTGGCTCTCCCTCCAGACAAGACCATGAAACAAATGTGGCTCATTTGGAGCACTATCCTCCTTGCAATTGGCATCTATGCAACAATCATCTTTCTCCCCATTGCCTTCACCAAGAAGATTCGGACGAAGCCCTTCAACCTATACCTGATATTCCTCATGATCCCAGATACAACTGCCACTCTGTTGTGTGGAGTCAATTGTTTGGCCAACTATTTGGGTGGAGAGTTTGCTGGTGGCGCAGCTACCTGCTATTTTCAATCCTTCTATCTGGTCTCTTGGGTTGCCATCAATGCTTGGCTGAATGCTTCAATCACACGAAAGCTGCTTACCATGCTTCAATCCAGCAAGCATTGTATCAGGTACCAGCCACCCACTCTATTACAAGTCACAAAGGAATGCCTGCTGGTCTATCTCTGGTCCTTTTTTGTCGCAAGTTGGGGCCTCTATGTAGCAGCATGGGAGCGGTGGCCTCACAAGACAATCTTTCGACTCGTGTGTCTCCCGGCACCTGTTGATGATGCCAGCATGGTCTTTTTCTATGTGGTCTATTTCCCATGTCTGGTTGGTATACCCTTCTGCTATGTGATCTATGCCTCAACCCGAATCTGGAAAGAGAGACTACTGCCGCCACCTGGGCGACGCCGAACTCTAGCAATCTACTTTTTCCGCCTGGCATTTGTCTTTATTGTCATGTGGGTTCCAAGCATTATTCTGATGTTTGTCACTCCAGCCTTTACCAACCCATGGGTGGAACATTTTGGGGGCACCTGGTCACATTTGCAAGTGTTTGTTTCGGCTTCGGTCAGTCTCATGAAACCGGACATCTGGAAAGCATTCATTGACTTCTATACCAAGTGCACCCGGCTTCGGAAAGAAGAAGTGGACCAGGATATGCCATCTTCTTCCTGGATGAGTACAATTCCAGTGAATGGGTGGACCTGGATAACCAACACCCCGGAGAACTCCCATAGAAGACTTTTTGGCAGCACAATGAAGGCATCATCATCAATGTTTGACGAAGAAATGCGCAATTTGGAACTTGAGAAGGCTGCATGGGAGTCAGAGCTGAAGAGGCAGGCACCATCAATGCCCCTGATCTCAGAGCTGGAACAACAAGTTTTGGGAGATGATGAAGAAATTGGGATAGAAACCTCCATCATTAGTCCACTTGAAGAGGAAGAAGAAGAGAATGGTGTGAATGATGGTGGCGTCACTTCAGCAGTGACATCACAACGTGACGAAGAACATGCTTGTGACATTCAATCTCTCAACAGTTTTGAAAACACGGAGAGCATATGACAACGAACACCTTGACCCGAACGAAGCCAGCTTTCTGAATCAAGTTGGGTTCGGTCTAGTCGGGGTTACAGAGGTCAGCGGTGTTAAAATTGACTGTCACTCTCTTCGACAAAGTATTTGCAGAGAATTGAATGTGTGCCGACAACATGGAATGAAGAAACATCGACAAAAGATGTAAGTTCTCCACCAAACGAATCGAATCCGAGCAACATCCACAAACGGCGAATACCAGTCAGTCTGGGAGAGCCACACCCCCTTCACGAGCATGACAATCATCCTGAGTTTTCCTTGGCTTCTTTGCCTCTGTCGCTTCCATGCATGCTTCGCTCCCACATGGTCCTTGGGTGCCATTGGCCATCGGTTTCAGTCTTGCAACTTACTATAATTCCCAGAGAATGATTGCAACTGGTATCCACCCCCAGCATGTGTAGTTCATAAGCGTTTCTTAATTAAAAGTGGATGTACTAGCAAGATCCAACACTCAAGAACTATCTTCTGAAGTACTTGGTACACGTGTAGCCATTGGATTAGGCCGAGTTGATGACTAGCTAGCGTTCATCATTGCTATAATAGCTCTTCCGATAATGTTTCAAACTCCCATCGATCCCAGACAAACCCAATGGACTCCAACAAGGCTTGTCGTTGGTCCGTCAATGTGTTGGCGAGTCTCTGTTGTTTGAGATTGTAATTTTTGCGTTGATTGCTGACCCAATGGGCCAACGGAGGGGATTGTGCCCATCCAATGGGAACGAGGGTATCCCCAAAGGTTTGTTGATATGCTTGGAGGGTGTGGAATCGAATCATCCATTGTCGATCGCGAGATCCGAGCTGCCAGTGGGGATCCAACTGGTTCAGTTGGTCGAGTTTGCCTTGTGAAAATAATGCATGGCTGCTACCATCGTCGCTTGTTGTGGTTGTGGACGCAGTCATCCATGCCTGATGGTCCGTGCGTTGCTTGGCGAGCCACAGACCCACGATGGACCGATTGCGGGAGAGTCTCCAGACGGCAATCATAATGGCCGCGTGGTGGGGAATTTCCAAGGACGAGTCGGGATCGATATAACTATATCCATTCTCATTGGCGGTACCGTTACTACGCAGACGCTCCAACCAATCGTCAATGCCGTTGGCCAATTCTTGGTAGCATGCAGTCCATTCTTGGTTGGTGGGTTTTCGAGGTGGTGGCCGATCTTTCTTCTCTTGCGGACATTTCCAGACAAAGTCCAATCGATTCAATATTTCGATGCGTTCCTCTGATAACAATCCTTTGCGATAGAGTTGCCGTTGTTTGGATACAAAGTTGGCCAAGGGACGATTGGCAGGGTAGCCTCGTGGGACCATGGTATCCCCATGAACTTGTTGGTATTCATAGAGTTCAATGACCTTTCGTAAGAATCGATCTTGTACATTCGTTGTGGTTGTGGTTACATTATCGTGATTCTCACAAGTACTGGTAGGTGTGGCCATGAAGAAGCATGGATGTGGACTCGGTCTAGTTGCTACTAGCGGTATGGGTATTCTGGGTGTCATGAAAGACAAAAGCAGCTTTGGTTGGACCATCAGGCACATCATCCACAAGCAAGCCACCGGTATTCTGCGACAAAGCAACATCTTGCAGTGGCTTGAAGGCCTCTGCGGGCATTGGATGGCAGCGTTATACTTTTTGTTGGCACTTGGTTGTGGGTGGTCGGTGTCAAGTGTCAAGAAACTTGTGGTTCAGAAAGATATTTGAGTTGTCACGAGTGCTTTTAATCCCGTGAGAAAGATCCGCGCTCAAGATGCTGGATGATGGAAGGAAACCAGTCTCCAATGATCTGAAGCCATTGACCACTCTATCTATGATACCAGTAGCAAGCGCTTGATTAGACTACATCGTGAAGCAAACCTTCGTCTTGTTAAAGAACAATGAAGGCCGGCACAAGACGACCCAGGTTCTGGTTCTGGGCGTTCCTCTTGCTACCACTGCTAGTTTATGTAGTAGTATCGGACGCCGTTGCGGAAGATGAACCACAATGTAGTGCCAACAATGATGGTCAATGCCGCAGTGGGGATTCCATCAACATTCCCGACAATCAACAGCAGTTGTTAGACCAGGCAAACTCTCTCCACGAGGCGGGCCTGGAATTGGCGACCGCGGGAGACAATACCGGCGCTTTGGAAAAATACGACGACGCCCTTGCCAATTATCTGGCAGCCTTTGGAGGCAGCCAGGATCATGCCGAGGTGGCAACCACATACACTCATATGGGCCAAGTATTGGTCGCCAAAGTGGACCACGACGGCGCCTTGTCCAAGTACCGACAAGCTCTCATCATTCGATTGACGGTATTTGGCAAGAATCATCCCGATACGGCGGATTCCTACCGCAATGTGGGTTACGTACAGAATTTAATGGGAGATTTTCAAGGAGCCTTGTCCAAATACAACGATGCTCTGGACGTTCGATTGGACGTTTTGGGAAAGAATCATCCCACGATTGCTTCCTCCTACAATGACATTGGTTCCGTATTCTTGGCGACGGGCAACAAAGAAGATGCCTTGTCCACGTTCCAGAAAGCCCTGGCCATTGGCTTGTCTGTATTGGGCAAGAATCATGCCGATGTAGGCACTGCTTACCACAAGCTTGGTTCCTTGCTGTTTGGAATGCAAGACTTTGAAGGTGCCTTGTTCCATTATCAGGAAGCGCAGGCCATTTGGGAATCCTTGTTGGGACCCGATCATCCCACCACAACGTCGTGTCAGGGATGGATTCGAGGCATCCACGCCGCCATGTCGCGGCGTTCATGATGATGCGATGGTGTTTTCAACTCTGGCTACATGTTGCTAGCTAGTGTCCTAAGTGCTGGCAAACCAAACAATAGCTAGCTATCAAAAGCACACAAAACTAGAGTGCACTTCTGCTTTGACAACCCATCACGGATGCTGCTTTTTGGATTTGTCCAAGCAGCACTTCTCCGCCAGATTACATACTTGACATACTTGACATGGAACGGCCGGCACCAGTGGGGATGGAAAGGGCCCACGAGCCATTGAGAGCAATGTATTGTATTTACAGCTCTGCTGTTTGTTTCTGAGAACCAACCGTCAAAGGCTATTTAGCTAATTCGGCAGTTTGAATTTGTCACGCTTTTTTCTCCTCACATTTTGCAACACTAATAACAATGAGGCACTGCTGCTGCAGCGATAGTAATCAATCGGCGGTGATTGATTAGACTACATGTACAGTAGTAGTTGGGAAGAATGTTGGGAATGACAGATGTGAGATTATGCTACCTTCTCTTGTTATTCGCTTGCTGTCATGCCGGCGACCATGATGATCAAGGAGGAGGATTTGGAGATGGTGGTGATATCCCTGGTACTGATAACAACAACGATCCAGGAGGAGGTGCCCCCCGACCGACGGTGATTTTCGACATTGACGGCACATTGACGTTCAACGAACTGCCTCTTCCATTTGTTCGCAAGGGTTCCCGCGAAGCCACACAACTCTATTTGGATTTGGGGTACGAAATCATTTTGTTGAGTGCCCGGCCCTGCCTGACACAATGGCAAGCAGATATCGTCTTGTGGTTGTACAAGTTTCCCACGGACGAGTTTTTGAAAATTGTCTGTTCTCCCAATGTTATCTGGGATCCCGATATGCGAGGATGGTTCAAATTGCGTGTCATGAAGGAATTGCGGGACGAATGGAATTTGGTGTATACCCATGCGTACGGAGATCAACCCAGTGACTTTGGTGTCTATCATGCCTTGGGAATTCCACAATCCAACGTCTTTGCCTTTCGACGTCTTTTTGAACCGGATTGTTCTCCTGGACTCTATGCCGATTGTATGGAAGATTATGTTACGCATAATATCCTCTACATTGCACGACAACCATTTGTACCTCGACCCGATCCAGCGGGTCGCAGTGGTGCAATTCGGCTTATTATGGACAACAACAACCATACAAGAAGATGACAAACATCACTGGGACTAATAAAACGTGATAACTCGATGGGATTGAAGGGTAGGGATCCTCCCGACCGAAGGATATCTGAATTGCTCTCTTCCTGCAGGCGAAGAAGAGTCAATTGACATTATCTGTTAGGTTTATTTGGGATATCACTACTAGACTAGTACTAATAAGCAGGGTTATGGATGGATGGATGTGAAATCTATGTTTATGTAGTACAACTGTGTAGCGTCTGCACATCACAAATAATGTTTATCTATGATTGTGGTTCCTCTTGTTCCTCTGGTTGTTGTTGAAAGACTTGTGCAAACTGTTCGAAATTGTGTGGACGATTGGAATTCATGGCAAAAGCGACGGTTCGGAATCGTCCGGCAAATTCGCCATGGAGGAGGGTTCGAAAGGACCGTGCCGCTTGTTGGGGCGAATTGCCGTGGACGCCACATCCAAACGCACACAGCACAATATCGGTACATCCCTGCAATGCCAAAATGGACAAGGCTCGATGCAACCGATCTTCCAATGCCCGTTCGACCGTCCAGTACTGATACGGTTCATTGTTTTTGGAAGCACCAATGGATTGTGCCTTGGGGACACACGGCGCTGTGTCATCTCCCAGTGCAAACGCATTGGGTGCGGGAATGGAAATGACACTAAACTTCAAGGGATGTTCCAACAAATCGCCTCGTTGGGAATCGGCTCGTACCATGGGGACACTCGGCACAAAAATGGCACAACTGCTGCTATTGTCTTGGTACTTTTCCTTGTGATTGACGTAGTAAAAGTGATGGGGTCGATTGTAGTACTGCATCAGACAGGGATAGAGCAATGTGGCGCGGCAAATTCCTTCTTCTTGACTCAGTGTCCCACGCAAAAACTTTTCCGGGTGTTTGCCACTGGCCGAATTCAAAATACCAATGGTTCCACTGCTGTCATCAGTATCAGTATCAGTATTGTCAGTATCATTGGATGACAAGTACTCTTGCAATTTGGTGGCGACTTGCAGAGAACTCCCGTACACGACGTGATACTCGGTATCTTCAAAGCGGGGAGGTCCCGCATGGAGACGAATCTCCTCTTGGGTGAATTGATGCGACGAATGATAATGAACGGAATTCTTCATGCTGTACCGCAAGGCTTCGGCCACACAAACCTTGCGACCTTGGCCGTTGGTGTAGCACCCTTCTTCGGCAATCTTGACCGTTTCATGCGCAATGTGGACCAACCAACTGCGCGAAAATGTCAAACCCGACGCGGGAAGCAGCGAGGCACTGGTAGTCGACGACAACGGACTCCCATGCTGATGCTGGTGCTGTTGTTGGAGGTGGACCATGGGCATCTTGTTTCGGTAGATAGTGCGCTGGGTCTTTCTCGATAATAAGAGAGTGTCTTCTTTCGCTTGCCAAAATTTGGTCGTTGTTTTTGTGGACAAAAAGCTTCCCCGCCCCTTGCAATTTCCACCACCGTTGGAGATGAGTGTGACATGACCATCAGCTTCCCCATGTGGCGTGTGTGCTTTGGTGAGGGTGGAGGCAGTTCAGGGCCACGTCACTGTTCTTTGGCGTCGTCACGCTTAGAAACCTCTACGTACGGTGTAGGATGTACGATAGTCCGGTAGTCCAGCAGACTCTGACTCGATGAGAAAGGTTGAAAGATTTACTGCTCAGGAGGTAACAATGAACAAAAGAATCCTGGTAGAGTTAACGATGAGGGCAATGGCGAGGAGAGGGTGGAGGTGGGGGCAGGGGACCGAGCAGTGGAGCAGCGGCAGGTGGTTGCCCCAGGGTGCGTTCCTTGTGGCCAGATGATCAGATGATGCTCTGAGTGGATATGTACAGTAGCTATCTACTCAGTAGCTAGCTAGATTCAGATTTTGTTCTTTCTGGCTAGCTAGCGATAGCTGGCTAGATTGCCACCTCTCCTCATGAGAAGAATGTTCGGATCTTGCCTTGAGATGGTGCTTCTTCTTCGTGCCAATCAAAACTATTCTAAAACCAAAGGTACATGATGCCTGTCGGGCTGATAAGCTGCAGCACTAACTGTGTGGCTCAGGTGGGTAAACCTCCGCAGAGACATGCTGTGTGGACTCTACATGTAAGTCAATGGTCTTCCTTGAGCTGCTCCGAAAGGACCGGGGTCGATCCAATGAAATCAGCCAGCACTGGACAAGGAAGGCGCACTTGGTATAGAAGTCAATAAAGGCTTCCCAGATATCCGGTTTCAAAAGACTGACCGAAGAGGAAGCAAACACTTGCAAATGTGACAAGGTGCCCCCAAAATGTTCCACCCATGGGCTGGTAAAGGCAGGCATAACAAACACAATTATAATGCTTGGAATCCACACGGCAATAAAGATGAATGCCAGGCGGAAAAAGTAGATTGCTAGAGTTCGTCGTCGCCCAGGTGGCGGCAGTAGTCTCTCTTTCCATATTCGGATTGAGGCATATAGCACATAGCAGAAGGGTATACCAACCAGACAGGGGAAGTAGATAACATAGAAAAAGACCATGCTGGTATCATCCACAGCTCCTGGGAAACATGCAAGTCGATAGATTATGTGGTGAGGCCACCACTCCCATACCACTCAATAGATACCCCAACTTGCCACAAAAAAGCACCAGAGATACACCATCAGGCATTCCGTTGTGACTTGTATTAGAGCGGGTGGCTGGTACCTGATACAGTCCTTGCTGGATTCAAGCATGGCAAGCAGCTTCCTTGTGATTAAAGCATTCAGCCAAGCATTGATGGCAACCCAAGAGACCAGGTAAAAGGATTGGAAATAGCACGTGGCTACACCACCAGCAAACTCTCCACCCAAATAGTTGGCCAAACAATTGACTCCGCACAACAGAGTGACACTTGTGTCTGGGATCATGAGGAATATCAGGTATAGGTTGAAGGGTTTCGTCCGGATTTTCTTGGTGAAGGCAATGGGGAGAAAGATGATTGTTGCATAGATGCCAATTGCAAGTTGGATAGTGCTCCAAATGAGCCACATTTGTTTCATGATCCCATCCGGAGGGAGGGCTGTCAGTGCCTCATAGTAGGTGGAATTCTCTGTCAAGTCAGACTCTCGGACAAGAGGATCACCCAGTGGTCCAATCTCTTCTAAACCAACGCTTTCTGTTATGTTGTCTGCTGTGGCTGTATTGGATGACATGGTACTAGTAATGGGATCGTCTAGCAGCAAGCAGAGGTTAGTCAAGGTGCAGTGTTGGGCCGCTGTTTTGTCGGGGTTTGGTGGGTGGTTTTGTGTTTTGGAGTTGTCGCTGGTGCGCTGGCTTCATCCACGTCTCCGCTTGTCCAGCTCGTGCCTTGTGCTCTTGGGCTATGCGCTGGGGACGAAGCGGGCATCCGAATTCTCTTTACTTTTAAACAAGAAAGACAAGCATTTAATTAATGATGAGGCTATGGTAACTTTCCTCCGAGATCCGAGATTCGAGGTACTTAGGTCCGATGTGTGACGTAGACCTCATAATACCCTATCTAGATTGGATACAAGTTTCACTTTGAATTTTCCTACCAGTCCTACGTCATTTCTACAGGAGTTTTTGGCCATTGTCCCTCCTTTGGTTGAACAAGTATCCTCCAGTAGAAATCTACACCATCCTGGTACTAAAGAATTGCCTGTTGATTGCCAACCTTTCTTTTTTCTTGACCATGACCATGATGCTTTAGATGAGATGAAAGCAACCTCGTCCAATACAGCATCCCTCTACCTTCTGCTATGTACAATGATCAACCACACTACCAGGTACTGCTACCATCATAATAACAAGCGGCGTGGCCAGAGCTACCATATTGGCCGAATGCAACTGCATCCCTTTAGCCGCCTCCTCAGAACTTGAATTGTGGCCGCCTTCAACCTTCGATCAACCGACCACCATTACTACTGATACTGCTACAGCCATCTTGAAGCGACGCTACTACCGTACTCCTACCGCTGCCGTTCGATCGCTCGGAGCTCCCGATCCTTCGTTATGCCGATCGCCCGAAGCCATTGTCGTCGCCCGAAAGTTTTCTACATGGACCGCCGTCTCTGCTTCAGAACTCAAGATGCGGCCGCCCTCACTTTCACCCGCAGTCTGTTGATCGCCCAATCCATCACAAGTCCTCTCAAGCCGTCCAACAGGACGCAACCATTTTGAGTGGGGTCGCCCGAAACTTCCTATCCATGGTCCTAAGACCCAGTCCTTTTGTCGTCTCCCAAAGCTTCTGCCCCTGTCCCAACTGACAGACAGACTGACTGACTGACTGACTGACTGACTGTGCATCTTCTAGTATACAGCCTGAATGATCATTCTTTGTGGGCCTACTGTGTTTATTGCCTATTCTCACAACAACACTTTGCAGATCAACTGCTCTCTTCTTTTTCCCGTGTAGGCCCCTCCTCATGTACTCCATGCTCTACCGGTACAAGCTACTACCGAGCTCCCATTCCCTCCAACCCTCCCTTGGTTTGATTCTGTCGGCTCCTTGATTCTATTTCGGCTCCTTGGCTTTGATTCTAGTAGTTGGCTCGGGGAGTCGCCTTTGCCCGCCCCCTATACAACCGCGCATTTTTCTTTTTAAAAAGGCAGCATGCCATTTTATTTTATTTTTGATTTTTTCAATACAGTGAATACCGCCCTTGAGCGATGCCGCCAAGGAGCGAAGTAAAACGAAATGCCGCCCTCGAGCGAGTCCAGCAGACATCCCATTCGAGGAGAGACTTTGAGAGATTTTGGGCAGAGGAGATAGCAAAGATCACAGAATCCTGGTACCGGTGTAGACTTTTAAAAAGAGGAGGGAAATGGGGAGGAAATGGTGGTGTAATGGGGGCTCGGGACACCGAGCATTGGAGCAGTGACAGGTGGTGGGGTTCGTTCCTTGTGGCCAGATGCTGCTTTGAGTGATACCGCTATAGCGTAGCTCGATTCAGATTTGTTCTCTCTAGCTAACTGGCTGGCTAGATTGCCACCTCTCTTCATGAGAAGAAGGACCGGATCTTGCCTGTACATGGTGCTCATCGTGCCAATCAATACTTTACTCTATAACGTACCGTAGCTAGGTACGTGATGCCTGTCGGATACGCTGCAAGGGGGGGGGGGGGGCTCCGCAGAGACGTACCCGTACATTATGAACACTGCGTCAATGGTCTCCCTTGAGCTGCTCTGAAAGCAAGGGAGAAAAAGAAGAGTCGAACCATTGAAATCAGCCAGCACTGGACAATGCATTCCAGGCTAAAGCTTCAATGAGGATAGCCCCTCGAGGAATGATTGCATGGTGGAACCTGGTAATTCAGACTATCAAACATTGCACCGACACAGACTCCATTTCCTAGAAGACAACCAGTGCAAGCCAGTCCTGTTTCGTGACTGTTGACCATCATCACTGCAAAACTGTGTTTGTTCATCCCACAATCATTCGTCTGCAAAGCTGAACAACGAGTCCATGTCACAAACATTGTCATTGTTGCCTTTGTCAACACCACCTGCCCTACAGGCATCTTTGTATGGATATTCATCATCCTCTTCTTCCTCTTGTGGAGCGTTCAACGAGGTACCCATCCCACTTTCTTCGTCATCTCCCACAAGATGCTCCATCATGGGTACTGATGGCGGCTTCACTTTTGGCTCTGACTCCATTTGAAACTTTATTAGTTCCAAATTGCGCATTTCTTCCTCAAGAGTTGGTGGCTTCTTCATGCCCCCAAATGACCGACCATGCGAGTGTGAAGAAGCAGTGGAGAATCCTGGTATTGAACTCATCCAGGAAGAAGGAGTCATTTCCTGGTCCAGTTCTTCTTTTTGAAGCAGGGTGCACTTGGTATAGAAGTCAATAAATGCTTCCCAGATATCTGGTTTCATAAGACTGACCGAAGAGGAAACAAACACTTGCAAATGCGACAAGGTACCACCTGCATGTTCCACCCATGTGATTGTAAAGGCTGGAGTGACAAACATCAGAATAATGCTTGGCATCCACATGACAAAGAAGACGAATGCCAGACGGAAAAAGTAGATTGCTAGAGTGCGTCGCCGCCCTGGTGGGGGTAATAGCCCCTCTCTCCAGATTCGGATCGAGGCATAAACCACATAGCAGAAGGGTATACCAACCAGACAGGGGAATTAGACAACATAGAAAAGATCATGCTGGCTTCATCGACGGGTGCCGGGACACACACAAGTCGATAGATTGTCTGGTGAGGCCACCACTCCCATGCCGCTCCATAGAGGCCCCAACTTGCCACAAAAAAGGACCAGAGATAGATCAGCAGGCATTCCTTTGTGACTTGTAATAAAGTTGGTGGCTGGTACCTGATAAAGTGGTTGCTGGATTGAAGCATGGCAAGCAGCTTCCTTGTGATTAAAGCATTCAGCCAAGCATTGATGGAAATCCACGAGATCAGGTAGAAGGATTGGAAGTAGCAGGTAGCAGGTGGCTGCACCACCAGCAAACTCTCCAGCCAGATAGTTGGCCAGACAATTGGCTCCACACAACAGAGTGCCAGTTGTGTCGGGGATCATGAGAAATATCAGGTATAGGTTGAAGGGTTTCGTCCGGATTTTCTTGGTGAAGGCAATGGGGAGAAAGATGATTGTTGCATAGATGCCAATTGCAAGTTGGATAGTGCTCCAAATGAGCCACATTTGTTTCATGATCTCATCCGGAGGGAGGGCTGTCAGTGCCTCATAGTAGGTGGAATTCTCTTTCAAGTCAGACTCTCGGACAAGAGGATCGCCCAGTGGTCCAATCTCTTCTAAACCAACGCTTTCTGTTATGTTGTCTGCTGTGGCTGTATTATTCAAGCATGGTAAGCAGCTTCCGTGTGATTGCAGCATTCAGCCAAGCATTGATGGCAACCCACGAGACCAGGTAGAAGGATTGAAAATAGCAGGTGGCTGCGCCACCAGCAAACTCTCCACCCAAATAGTTGGCCAAACAATTGACTCCGCACAACAGAGTGGCAGTAGTATCCGGAAGCATGAGAAATATCAGGTACAGGTTGAAGGGTTTTGTTCGAACTTTCTTGGTGAATGCAATGGGGAGAAAGACGATTGTTGCATAGATGCCAATGGCAAGGAGGATAGTGCTCCAAATGAGCCACATTTGACTCATGGTCTCATCTGGTGGGAGGGCCGTCAGTGCCTCATAGTAGGTGGAATTCTCTGTCAACTCAGACTCTCGGACAAGAGGATCACCCAGTGGACCAATCTCTTCTGAACTAACCCCTTCTGGTGTGTTGTCCATTGTGGCTGTAGAGGATGACATGGTAGCAAGGGGATCCTCTAGCTGCAGCTAGTGGTAGAGGTTAGTCGAGGTGCAGTATTGCGATGCGCCTTTGCTGGGCTGTGGGCCGCTGTTTTGTCAGTGTTTGGTGGGTTGGAAGCTGTCGCTGGAAGGAATGATCTACGGTCCACAGTTGCTAATCAGCTCGTGCGTTGGGCTCCCGGGGTGAGGAAGGGTGCATCCCCAATTCTCCACACTGTAGATCATCATAACAAGAAAGACAGGCTTTTTTTAACTACCAGGTTGATTGACTTTTCTCCAGGCTCTTTCTTCACAGGAATGATGAGCTAACGGGGAGGGTGCGGAGGCGAAGACACGGGCTGGAGAAATACTAGTAGGGCGATGGCGTGGAAAGTCCATGGGAGGATCTAGCTAGCTGTCAGCTTGCAGGTAATGAATGATGAATCGCTAAGGTGAATGCAGTGGCATGGGAATGCCAACGAGTGGCGAACGTCCTGACTGGTACCAAGGAGACCATGACATCCCGTACAATTCAAAACTTGAGTGGTGGTAGGGTGCAGCGTACCGTATGCATGGTCAGAATCGATAGATAGATCATTCATTACAAGCATCAAGCCGCTACTCGGTGCCCTTGCACCTTGCATTCATCCTCTAGCTAGGTGGAGTGAGTCGAGTCATTCATTCCCACCCTTAGTCACCTCTAACATCGCACATTCATAGTAAATCTTCGTGTTGGCAAATCCTTCGTGTTGGCAAACAACATTGTAAAAGCACTAAAGTCCGTACAGAGGGGTTTTAGAGTGAGTAGGGAGGTTATCTCAGAAGCCAGCGAGGGCCAGGCTTTGGCAAAGAAGACTGTATTCAAGTGTTTTGTTAAAGCTGTCTTCATGATGTATGGCATGCTTAGTTATCTTCCTTCCCAGTTCCACGGGCCTGGGCACGGGGGCATCTCATTGCAGAGAACTAGTACGATTCAGGTGTTTAGCGCTACTGTACTATTGTACCGATATTTGGAAAGCGCTTCAGCCGCACACAGCATCATGATGTTTCTTCCCTCCTAATCAATCATTGTCATTTTAGAAAGCAAGCTGGCTATAGTAATGCATTATTCCGCCCCTATTATGGCTCTTTGCTTGCGTACCACACCTTCAAAGGCTGTAATTTGATGGTTTGATCGCACAGGGGCACCTGGAGATGGACTCCGTCAGACGTTTGGATGAGGCCATGGCATTGGCTGCTTTGTTTGTAGATGAACTGGAGGGACTTGACTTGAATATTTCCAGATGCTCGGAAATTCGTTTGTATCATCACCCGTTCCTTACCATTGGACAGTGGCGCATTTATACTTTGTATTCAGGCCGAGTGATCGGTATGAAAGTAATCCACATGATTGTAGATGCGCTCGATAAGCTCGGCCTTTTTACCCGTCGAGGAAAGACCACAGTTCTTGCTCATTTGTTTGAGCGCCACCACAGTCACTCCAGCTTCTAGAGGCTTGGCCTCGCCACGAAGATCCCGTAGCTGCTGTTCCGCCGTTAGATAGCTCTGCCCAAGCATGGTACCTGGCGCTGGATTGTCAAGGTCAACCGTGATGGCCGCCATTTGTTCAATCTTCTCCATAAAGGCGGCCACTCGGATTTGGGTGCGGTATTCAGGTGGAAGCATGCTGTTGTTCAAGCGGAATCCCTGGACGGTAAATTCAAAGTCGGCCATCTTCTCGTTCTTGTGCTGCTGCTACTGCTGGTGGTGTTGGTGGTGTTGGGTTGTCGTCGGTTGTGATGTTGTGATGGTTCAACGAAACACGAAACAATGCCAATGCTAAGAATGTACGCCAAAAAAGCAACGGTACTAAAAGATCTAATGTCGATCAATTTGAACCGCACACATGCTCGCATGCTCGCATTGATGCCGACGCCACATTCTGGGGTGGTGGTGTTGTACGTGTATTCCGTATCGGTATGCCATACCACTCTGGAGTCCTCAGCGCATTATTCCCAGACATAGACCACACTAACCACTTTTAGTACATGTAACCTGCTTTCATAATTGTAGTTTTTGAACATTATTAGGACTTTTGAACATTAGGAACTATAAATGGCTGTGTACAATGGTATCAAGAGCCCAAAATTTCACTTGTGCATAATTGTAGTAGAGGGTCGGAGATTGCCGCGGTGTATGTTGGGCTTCGACCGCAGCGGCAATGTGACCGTTGCATCGCCCACATTGGAAAGTCCACCATGAACAGTTACACAATTGAATTCTCTGTCAAGCTCTGGCTATGGAAGCATCAAGGATCCCTGCGTTTGCTGGTTTTGAGCCCGAATGAATCGAATTTACCTGCTTGCTTCAATGATGCAACCGGTACTATAGTTGGACCATAGAATTTGTTTAATCTTGCAGTGGATTGCCTAACCCTGTTGCGGCCACAGCCGACTGTACTTCGTCTGTGTTTACACCCTGTTGTTTTGGCCACAACCTGCTGTTGCCTTGATGATCATCATCCGAAGGATCAATAAACAGTCCATCCATGCTTGGCTTGGAGGCATGGCTTGGTGGGAGATTGCCAATTGTTGCGTTTCGGTCCACAATCTTGGGAGCGTGTAGGTCCATGATTTCTTGTACATTTCCCATTGCCACGATTCTTCGTGGTGCTTCTACCGTTTCGTCAAAGATGGGAGCGACACATGGATTGGACTCGCCCCCTTCCCCAGTTGTTTCCACGAATCGGAACTTGTCCACTACCATGCGATGTCCACAGTACGTCGCCGTAGCTTCCCGTGCCAGTCGATGGACTGGTTCCAGTTCAAAATCCGACATGGCGAGACAACTGATGGGTAGCCTCGCCAGAGTGGTGTGAATAAAGCCATCACGATCCCCCAAGCCTGGTGTCTTCAGTTCTATCGTATTGCGCCGCTTGGGTTTTGTGGATGGGGCTTCTTCGATTGTTGTTGTTGTAGGCGTTATTGGGTCCTCCACAAAGTGTCGATGCGCATATGTGAGAGGTTCTTGCCCCGATGCATAGTTATTATTGGCTTCCCCGGTAAAGCACTGAACAATGTCACGTCGCAATTTGACAATAGGGTCTTGTCCTTCCCCATGTCGATCAAAGATGGTGTAGTCCCCCGCCGACCGCTCCCCGACACACCTCCAGAGTGCTACCAGCGTCTTGCCTCCCAAGAGTACAATGCGTTCCAGTTCAAGCTGAAAGGCATGGTGAAATTCGAGTACCAGTGCTTGTCGAAACCGTGCCACTAATTCTTGAGACAGTTGCTCATTTCCCGGTCTCATACCGTGCCTGTTGGTTTTGTGTTGAACGCGTCCAGGAGACAAGGAGATGAGTCAGTGAGTGGATTTAAAAAGCTTGTGTTTCGGCTACATTGTGGTGTACTACTTACCACCACCAGGGAGTGGCAATTGTGACGTGCAAATGTTCCTTTGGCAATATGGAAGCTGCCGGAATCCATGCTTTGGTGGACGTTTTCGGATCATGACTGTAGTCGAATGGTCGCAGAATATCCGCTCTGGCTTCACAGAGCATGGAAGCTGAGGTATCGTCTAGCATGACAAGGACGGTTCGATGTGATTTGTTCTGTCCTTGATACCGAAAAATGCGCTTCATTTCGGCTTCCCGTTCATTGCGCAGCCGAGGATAACTTCGAACGGCCGGTACGAGGTCAAACAGATGCGCATCTCGCGCCAACTGATAGTACTTTTGCGTCCGTTTCTTATTGGCGTCTTCCACAGTCGCACCGTACTCCAATTTAAAGTCGTCAAACTCGGAAATGATAGACAAAACGACGTTGTCATCGTCTCGGGCCTTATTTTCGGTTTCAATTTCCTTTTGCACGTACTTGTATCGCGATTGTTTCTTGGCGCGGGCTGCCACTTGTTGATACACAATGGATGCCGTAGCCAGAGCCGCCACCGTCGACACTATGGCCGTTGTGACTCTTGAATCTACTGATGAAGATGACGCTTGAGATGACATGATGCTATGATATGGTGTGTTTATTGTGATGTGTGGGCAGAAAGAAGAAAAGATACTAGTACCTGACCTGTGCACTTGACTAGCTAGCTAGACTATGGGGAAGTTGTTCTGTTTGAGGCTTCGTTCTGTTTTGAGGTGAGCAGACGAATGTGGAAGTGCGTCGAAATGCATTATAATGGTGGGCAAAAGATCCAAGCACCCCCCAAAATCTGATTGAACTTGGTATCTTCCTCCTCTTTTCTCTAACACTCTCCCCCCTTTATCTTCTGACCCCAAAAAGCCTCCCGAGAAATCGCTCGTTCAGCTACGCCGTAGCTCACGCTGGCTTATCCACAAGATCCTGGATATTTCAGGTATCTGAGCAATCCGAGCCCAGAACAAACAAAGGTGGTTGCCACTCTTATCCAGTGGTACCATCTATCATATCTCATCTGACAGCCTGCCATACCAGTAGCTAGCTAGCTGGACAATGATCCTCACAGCGCCTTCCACAAAGGCTAGTAGGTGCAGGTTACTCTTGCTTTCTCTGTTACACTTGTCGTCGTTGTTGGTACCATGTCATTCCCAAGGAGGGGCCGCCAAGGTATCTACCACGGTGAAAACAATAACAACAGGCGCCACCATGGACTTGGCCAAGAATTCTTATCTGTTTCGAGATTTACCCAATGGCGCGAGTGCCGAACCGATCATGGAACATCACGACGAGACGTATGACAATAATGACAAGACCAAAGACATTGAAATGCCCGAATTTCTACAAAAACGAGCTCTCTACCACCGTGTGGTGCTCTTTTATTCCCCCAAATGTCCGCATTGCATCCACTTTGCACCCACTTACATTGAATTTGCCCGGTATTTTGGCAACTTGACTCGTAATCAAGATACCATTTATGCAGATGTCAAGGTCAAGTTTATTGCCGTGAGTTGCATCAGCTACAAGAGAATTTGTCGGCTCCAAAAGGTCAACTCGTATCCCGTCCTCAAGGTATTTCCCGCAAAGGAGGCCGAGCATATTTTTCATCCACACGAACTCCATCCCTTGACTGTGCTCAAGGCACTGGGAGATGGTTTTGTCAAAGACACGTGGTGGGACAAGAAGAGTCACTTTGGAGATACCTTTCAAACAATACAGGCCCAACATCAGAAATCCACTCCCAAAAAAGCAACCAATACTCCAAAAGAAGAAGCGACAACAACCTACTTTTCCATGACACGGTCCCAACCCCAAGTGTTTGCAGATGCCTACTTGTCATTTTACAATGCCATGAAAGACTCGGTCTTTTTGAAGGATGGAGCTCTCCCCAAAATACGCAAGCAGGCGCTTCATCAATTCCTACAACTCTTGAAACGAACATTGCCACCCTGGCGACTCGGTTGGCTCGTCAATGATCTCTACGAAGACTTTCACGAAAACACCGACATGGAAAGCACGTGGGAGATGATTTTGGAACAATTCCCACCTCCTCAACCCACATGGAGTCCGGCCTGTCAGGAACACGAATCACCCTACACGTGTGGACTCTGGACGCTCCTGCACATAATCACGGTGGGGGTCGTCGAATACAATCGACAAGTCATTCATCCTAATAAATTTGCCGTCCAATCCGTGTCCATGGCATCCTTGATGCTGCGAGAGTACATTCATCACTTTTTTCTCTGCGAAGAATGCTCCACACATTTTGTACAGGCATTTGATGCCTGCGCGTATCGTCGCTGTCAACGCATGATCGATCACAATCACACTTCCGTGTCACTGGAGGAATGGCAAGAGTTGCCACTGTGGCTGTTGGAATTCCATAATGGAGTCAACATTCGATTGCAGACGGAACGATGGCAACGACAAGGAAGACAACCAGAACCAGCCACTCTGGAGGAAGAAGAAGCCGTCCTGTGGCCACCCGTCCAGGAGTGTCCCTCGTGTTGGATGCATCCCATGAATGGGGCCGCCTCGCAGTACAATGCCACCATGATGTATCAGTATCTGCGTCTCATTTATTGGCCCGAAGATGGGGAAGCCATGCAAACCAAGCAAGAAATCCAGGCGGCCAAACTCCTCTTTGCACAGCAGCCACCACGACTGCAGCAGAGACAACTCAAACCAGATGGTGCCAGCAGCTTGGTCGACACAGTCGCGGCAGATGGACCCTACGTGGTGGTCAGTGCTGCCGTGTGCGGCGTGTGGTTGTTTGTCCTGTGGAAAAAGTTTCTCATGGATAGGATGCTGGGTATCCATCGCACCAAGATGAGGACTGTGTAGTTGGTTGGCACCAAGACAACAATCAACAACTACAAGTCAAAGACTTGCGCCCATTCCAAAGTTGCTCCTTGCAGATGGCGACTACTGATGAAGCTGTATCGCGAGCAAGAAACAATATAGAAAAGCTAATACACTATGTAGGAGCTACAGTGCTAGGTAACAAATGCCATGCAAGAAAAGAGGGTTAACCCACGCCGAAATCAACCCTAAAAGCCATCGCCGCCACCAGCCACAAGTTCAGCAACCTATCCAGCCTCCCTGCCTGCAATTGCTACCAATTCAATCGATAGCTTGCATCAGCCAGACATTCATCATGGTCACCTTTTCTTTTTACATTCTATAAGAAGCGCGAAGTACCTTGCTGCGCTAACTTCTAAAGTTAGAAGTTTGCTGCTCTGTTAAAAACAGGCAGTACAGCAGTCACAGCTCACTCTTTGACAATCCGCCGTCAAAACCTTCAAGCCAGATTGGGTACGGTCGCACAACATGTCATCAATTACCCCCGTGAGGTCGTTACCATGCAACGTCAGACTCTTGAGATTGCCAAGGGCACCCAGAAAGGCGGGAACTTCGCCCGTGAACGAATTGCCATCGAGATTCAAACGGCGCAGTAGCCAGCTTTCTCCATAACGATAAAGATTGGTGGCGGCATCAGTATTGCGACTGGTCCCTTCAATCAAGACTTGCAAGTCACCCCCCAATCTGTTATCGGTGACTTCCAATTCTTCCAGGGTGGTAACGAGTAGCATTCCCCTGGGGAGTTGGCTGGAAAGAGAGTTTTTCGACAGCAGCAAGGTCTTCAAGCTCTTGGAGTTGCCCAGGCACGCTGGGATGCTTCCAGTGAGCATGTTGGAGGTCAAATCGAGTCTTTCGAGGTGTTCTAGCAGGCAGATTTCTTCGGGCAGTGAACCCGATAGTTTTGCATTCGCCAAGGCTATCGTGCGAACCACGGGTACCTGATAGCCGTTTTCGACACAATCCACAATGTAGGCTTCTTTCCAGTACGCGCAGACTTGGGACTTCATTACGGTCAACATTGATGTTGATTCAGTCAACCGCAAATCCCAAGTCTTGGGTGACGTTGAGAAGTACAGGGTCAAGACCGCATATGATTGCAAGACTTCCGTGGTAGTGAGGCTTTCGTAGGAATCTACATGATCCATCATTATCTGTAGAAAGGCTCTCCCTTGTGGTCGGGACGCATCGAGCAGAATCTCTCGTTTCGTGTACGGGCCAAGCATTGCCAAGAGGTAGTTCCATGCATCGTTGGTTGCCGAGGTGGGATAACTGCTGGGAGCCTGGGTTGGAAAGATGGACACTGTGGCTGGTTGCTTCGAGGTATCGCGCGCCAATAAGGGATCGCTGTCGGAGGAAGCTGAACCTTCCGGTGAGGATGCGCCAATATCCGTGGATGGCGTTGGTGGTTTCGTTTTGGCGGCGCTGTGTCTCACCAACAAAACAGTCAGCGTAGTGACGAATGCAATCATGAAGACCAAAACGAAAAGGAGTAGTTTGGTCCGGAACGCGCTGGAGTCGGGCGTTGGCTTGTCGGGTACCTGTTGGCACTCGTAACCATTGTCGTCGTTGCTGATAAGGACGCTTCTCCGACTACCACCAGCCGACGACTTGGCATCATTGACAGAGGAGCGATTGGTTAGACCACTTTCACTCCCAGGTGCGCTAGTCAGGGGTACTTCACATAATCTTCGGAGACCAGAATAAGGGCGAAACTGCATCGAGTACAATACGGAGATCTCGTCCTCCGTAGCTTCGCTGCCGCCGTAGTCACTCATCGACTCGTTGCTGTTGCTAGTGCTACTGCCAGAGCTCATCGTCTCATTGCCCTCCTGGCTACCCGAGCTCATCGTGTCAGTGGTTCCAGTGGGAGCGGCATAGATCGTTGGTGGCTCTCTACTATTGACTCGCTCTGTTTCAATACACACGTCTACGAAATCCATTGATTTAGCCATCGTCGTCGATGCCTACAGCTCAGGGCGCACTGTGGCTCCAAGACCAATGAAGAGCTACCAAAGGTATCTATGATGCAGCTGTGAGAGGATTTGTCGTCGTAAACTCTGCAGTACTTCACCTCTGCAGTATCGCTTGAAAACTTGGATAGTTGCATTGCCTAAACGGCGGCCACTCCGTGGGAAGAGCACAACCTTAGTTAGATGAAGGGACAACAAAATAGGCGAGGATAGTCATCGATGCGAAAGATCTCCTATGAGCTTGGCCTACTTCTTTCATTCCGAGATACCGGTACGCTGAATCCGGAGCCAGTGGTCTCCGGTCATCTGGCCACAAAGGGTATCCATACCGGCATGTATCGGCGTCCAAATCATCAAGCACTTTCCAAAAACATATTATGAAGGCAAAAAACTAAAGCTATATGTTTTTGGGACAACTCTAGTGTTGCTTTTGCAGCACGATTCGCCGGCGTGATGGTACTTAAAAGAACCGCGGGCCCTCACTATTCAAAAAATTCAATCGTGGCTCATACGTGTAGTAAAACTAAAGTCACATTTTGGGAATTTTTTATTCAATCTTGTTGGTGACAGGTCGAATGATCAACACTGTGAAGTTCTCATGGCGAGCGGATATTTGTAGCCTGATACCGGCTAGCTAGTAGCTCTCCGGCTAGAAACTTGACTTTGTGTTACAAGAATAGTACAAAGCAACCTTCTCATTTCAATATTCCCATAACGGACACAAGGCAAAACCCCATTTGCTGTAGAGATACCTTGGCGTTTATTTCTTGCCCGTTTGTTCGCATTGCTTGCCCTGTTGTTGATCAAAGCATCTTACTTGACAAACGTTCCATCATCTAGCTAGAAGACCATTTATCATGATCAACTTTACCGCAGTCGTCCGCAAATTTGCGGGTCTCTTTCTGCTGTTTGCATTGTGCTTCCGAGCTGCGCAAGCCAAAACCGTACGAGGATTAGAAGAACTCGAGAACGATGCACAGCATGTTGCTCGCAGGGCTCAACTTGCCACTCCGGGCCCCATGGCTCCCACGGCAACACCCGTTGCAACTGTTGAATACAAATATGGGATTGGTGTGGGAGTGACATTGACTGTTCCTGCTGCTAGCGTCCCAGAATCAGAGAAGAGAGCATTGGAACGACTGACCCAGACCTTCTTTACGAGAGTTATTGCCTCTACCTATCCCACGTCTTTTTATGATATTGATCTGACCTCGGTCGCAAGAGCAAACTTTGGTGAATTCACTCTTGGAATCGGTTTCAACACTACAACAGTCTTTCGACTCGAGGGAAATGTGCCCACAAGTGATGATGTCTTTAGTACTCTAGCCCGAGCCACTACGCTTTACAGCTTCGAATTCCTTAATGACTTTGTCCAAATGGCTGGGCCTAGTTTTGCTGAGTAAGTTGTCTGCCCGTGAGGTTGATGGTTTCAATCTCGAATCAATCAAGAAACATATCCGGGGCGTGGCTTGCTAACGAGACGTTCTTTGTTCCGTGACAGTGCCGTAAGCGCCCAAACACAAGTGATTATATTGACCACGCCATCTCCCACTGCAGCGGTATGTAATGTTGTTTTCGTTTCTCTTGTTGCAAGCTTGCTTGGTTCTCGTCCCACCCAACACATGACATGTTTGTCTCTGCTTTTGTCTCTCGGCAAAACAGCCTAGCTCGTCGCCCAGTTCGACTCCAAGCTCCTCTCCAAGTGTATCTCCGTCGGCAAACCCAACCCCATTGGTCCCGGTGCCAACTCAGAGCAGCCGACCCTCCGCTATCCCGTCGTTGTCTTCAGCGCCTTCTGAAAGTCCCATTACACCACCCTCAGCTAGTCCGTCGACAACTCCTTCCGAAACGCCCAGTCTTAGTTTTAACCCTTCAGCAAGTGGAATAGTTCCCAGTCTGTCTCCAAGCGCCACGCCAAGCGTGTCGCCAAGTGTCTCGCCAAGTATGTCTCCGAGCGTCTCGCCATCCATGAGTCCCTCGAGCTCCCCATCTGTTTCTCCTTCGACATCGCCATCGTCATCTCCTTCAAGGTTCCCATCTAGAAGCCCTTCGATCTCCCCATCTAGATTCCCCTCCAGATCCCCATCTGTTTCTCCGTCCATGACGCCCAGTTTTGAGCCGAGTGGAGGTGGAACGGAAGTCATGCCACGCCCCCGTATCAGGTTTGCTTTCTTCAATAACGCTGGAGCTGACTTTGAAGAAATCACTAACGAGCAAAGAGAGGTAGGTGCACTTTGCCAAGGTTTCGGATTGCCATTTGTTGTGAAGGTGGTGGAGATTCCTCACCCTTGATCTTTGACTTGCACTTTCTACTAACAACGTAGTGGGTGGAAGGAAACATTACGGACTTCTTGGATGGGCAATACGGAGATGAGTTCAATACGTACGTCATGTCGACTTCGGACAGGTCCAACTTTCCATCTCCCCCGCTGGGTTTCCAACAGAGGAGAGATTTCAATGCATACTTTTGGTTGATGGACATGATTTCCAAGTACCAAGATCCTGTTCCAAGCTCGGACGAAGTTACGTTCTATCTATCGAGTACAGATTCCCCTCTGCAAGGACGCTATGGGGATTTGTTGAACCGAATTAGGGGTGTGGCTCCCCAGTTTTCAAATCTGGCCATGCTGCAGGTTTCCACCGACGCACTCCCACCCCTCACCCGTCTTCCAGCAGAGTGGCAAAAGAAATAGACGGGCAGCGCAGGGAGAGGATCGACAGTCTGGTCCGACGTTTTGTGCGATCCTATCATCATCAGTTTATTCATAACAACAATCTCATAATAGTTTTACTAAAAAGGATAGATGTGTGTATTATTTAAAAAACCACTCTATTAGGAATCTAAAGCTTCATCTTGGTTCGAATGTACATACACGCTTGCAAACAGAAAAGAACACTACTGATCAAGTGGGAAAAACGAGACCACTACAGTCTTTTGTTGGATTTGAGTTGTTGCCTAGCTAGCTAGATTTACATTAGCTTGGAGTTGCGTTTGCATGGTTGGTTTTATTCGAATGAGCCGAGTCTTTTAATTAATCAAACCTTCTTTTGGAGTTGCGTTTGCATGGTTGGGAGGACTGAGCCGAGTCGAGTCTTATTAATTATTAAAATCAAACCTTTTTTACTCGGCATCCCACCGCGATCGCCCTCCTTCCATGGATTCAATCAGGATATTGGGAGCAACGATTGGACAGTCATCATCATCATCATCCTTGCTTCTATTGCTCCTGCTATTGTTCGAGTCTCGTGGTTGTGGCGGTTGCGATGGTTGCGCATTCAACGATTTGGACCGTGTTCTCCGGGGGACACCCCGTCGTGGCCGTGGTGGTTCTTCTTGTTCCTCTTCTTGTCGCGTGCGGTTTCGTCCTCGTGGTTCCGTCTGTTGTCGATTGTACCCCGGGTAGGGCGACGGACGTGGTTTATTGGGTTTTTGCGTCAATGATTTGGATCGTAGTCGTTTGGGAATACTCTTGGAGATTACCGTGTCTTCCTCTGTCATGGTGGTATTGGCGGTCGTGTCGGCAGTACTCTGTTCGTCTTCTTCTTGTTCGTTGTTGTTGTCGTCTGCCTTTTGTGTCAGGTTGAGTAGCATATTAATGACATCGGACATGGCCGTGGCGGCTTGAATGAGCTGTTCCCCGGCATCTTCTCCATCTTCTTCTGTTGTCTCGTTGTGTTCGTGGCAATGATGATCCTCTCTCTCACAGTTTCGACAGGATTTGCTTCGCATCAACGTGGCATCGCGCGCACTAGTAGGATGCTCGTCTTGGTGGTGGTGGGCATTGGAGTTGCTACTATCCTTTTTCGCCGGCGGCAGGGACTTGGAACGAGGAGGAACATTTTTGGAGCGACCCTTTGCTTCGTTCTTGTCGTCGTCTTCGTTGTCCTCCTCCAATGGAATATTGTGGTGGTTGTCATTGTCATTCTCGGAAGCTCGAGGCTGTACAACAATATCCGTATGATGCCTGGGTAGATAGCTGTTGTTGGTAGTAGTTGTATCCAATAGTTGCGGCAGAGAACTCGCCAATTGTTGTTGTTCCAATGGCAATGGTGACGATGAGTCGGCAAGCTGTTGCTGTTGCAGATATTCTGCCGTCTTGTCATGGACGTGATTGCACAGATCCACGACAGCCACGGGCGAAGCCTCATTCTTATTATTGTTGTTGTTGTCTCGTGTGGAGGATGTTGTACTGCCATTGACGGATTGTAGTTCTTGTTGTTCTCGTTGTTGCCGTTTTTGCGTTCCATATTCTTGCACCACCTTATTGAGGGCGGCCTTCAATTGGAGTTGCCGCGCTGTTCCCGGTGGCAATTGCAGTTTGGGCGGGGATGCCTGCCAAAATGCCTTATTATTGGGTGATGGAAGAACCACAGGAGTCGTTGTCACAGTCGTAAGGGAAACAATTTCTCGTGATCGTACTCTGCTGAGTGTCTGACTGTACTGGATGCCATTGCTGCTGCTGCTGTTATTGCTCAAGTTGGCACTGCTGTGACTGTCCTTGTGATTGTGATTGTGATGATGACTGTTGTGATGATGGCTGCTGTGAGTGCTCTTGCTGTGATCTTTTCGACTGCTGTCTCTTTTTTTCACACCTCGACTGGGATTTTTCGGCAACTTTTTGCTACTGGGAGTACTAGACTTGCTGTTGTGATTTTTGGCATGATTACTCTGCGACGAGGATCGTTGACGCGATCGTTGCGAGCCTCTCCTGGACGTACTGTGTTTGGAGATTCTCGTTTGAGAGGCATCCAAGTCGTCCATGAGAAGACGTCTCTTGGAAGTCGTCTTTTTGATGGAAGGATGATGATTGTTGTTGCTATTGTTGTTGCTGCTGTCGACCTTGCGACTGCTGCGACTACTACGACGCTGTGATTCGGACGTGGATCGTTTGTAACTGGGTCGTCCCCGAGAAGTGGCTCGTTTCACAGTTGCTGCTGCTGTTGGTTCTTCCACCTCTGCCGTACTAGTACTGACGGACTGAAGTGACCCCATCTTTTGCAGCACTGGCACTACGGCATCCGAGTTTCGTCGTCGTCGTCGTCCATCTCGTGACGATCGTTGTTGCTGTTGTTGGCCGTCTGTATCAGCCGACGCGGTCCGCAGCAACGACTTGTTGGCCGACGACCTGCGTTTGGGAGTGGCAAACAACTCACGATTGTCGTGACTGCGATGGCGTCGAACCGCATGGGTATTGCTGCTATTGCTCATTATTACAGATGTTTCGTTGGTACTACTTCGTCGATTCGATCGTCTACTAGTAGTAGTCGAAACAGACACGATATCGTTGATGATGGAGCTCTTGCGATGGCGCAACTTGTCCATCTCCACCGATTGCAGCAACGAGGCAACCACAGTCTCGGGCTCTTTGGCAATGTCCGTCGTCGAACTTCGGCGGGGGCGTCGATGCTTGCTAGCACCGCTAGTACCAGTTATGCTCGATCGGTCCTGCATCTTGACTGTATATGATAGCTACTATTGCTATAGAGACAGCAATCAACACTCTGAATGAATGGAGCTCTTGCACAACACTCCAGGTCCAAAGGCCTGATGATGAGAATGAGGCAAAAAAAAATCTGATGTTCCACTCTTGAGGCTCTTGAATGATGAGAGGCAAGAAAGATTGAAAAGAAGACGAGAAGATTTGCGGTTGCACTAAAAAATACTCGAATATCAACCAGCTCACCGACCAGTACATACATCTTCGCGCATCCGCGCGATAACAGGAAGGTCACAGCTACAAAAGCCTTCTATAAATAGAATTGACTGTTTCATACTCGTTTCTGTCTCAGTGGCGCTCAGTGCCATAGTCTTGACAAAAATTACTGGTAGGAAGGTGCTCTCGAGGATTTAATTACTTACTCGAGTAATAGCGATTCATTCGGGCATGCATCTTAACAAACAGAAAGGAGAGCATGGGTAAGCTATGGGTACATGGGTACCATCTTAAATCAATAAAAAACAAAATAAACCCACAATACACCCTCAAACAGAGGGTCGCGGGTGATGGATTTAATACCTTCAACGACAGGGCCATACATCTGGCATTTACGGTAAGTCACTCCCAAATGACTGGATGGAAACAATTCACAACAGTCAAACAGAGACTGGGTGGTGTGATATTATTATGGTGGAGTGTGGCATGTGGAGCTCACATGTGGCAGATGTCGTACGGTACCAGCACCGTTTGGCGGTATGGTACCTTGCCCTGTAATACTCGAGAGTAGATGCTACAATCGCTGAAACATGAAGACTTAGTGCTCTTCTGATGTACATATCGCCTCGGTAAAACAACGCAACATCGTAGGCATCTTTTCCCCTCGCCCCTGGCAATTTGGAACAGGTAGGTGTTGGTGGCGATCCACTTCCAATCGGTTGTGGAACCGCATCATTACTAAACTTTTATGACACCTCTTGAGGCTCGGGGTTGAATTGACTACTGGTCAGTGGTCAGAATACCTTGGTCCGTAATATCTGGAGATCATAATATATCACAAGCTTTCATCCTGCTGGATGCTAGCTACGGTGCCGTACCGGTACTAGCTCGCTGGTACCACCTTCAAGGCATCTCGCCTCTGTGGATGAGCACCGGGGCCTCTCCTGCCCCGGCACCAGGACCCTCTGCTAAAAGTAGCTAGCTAGTTCCCCCAAGTCAAGTTCCATGGTTAGCATGGTTAGAAGCAAAGCCTGTGTGATTGGCCAAATAATAACTATTCTTCCACTCTAGCATACACAAGAGATGTTTCATATCCCAACAATAAGGCCCCCAATATGCTAAACAAGACAGTCAATGTTGCCACCCAAGCAAAGTCTTCTTCCACTCCTGCCGCTACTGTGGTTGTCAAAAACTCCAGTGAATCATGGTTGTTGTCACTGTTGTTGTTGTTGCTTTCAGTATTGTCCATACTACCAAAAAACAAATGGGGAGCACCATGGAAACCAAGTAGATGACTGGTGAATTGTTGGTCCGAGGGTCGTAGCTTCCAATAAATGACATTCTTGTTGTCGTCCACAGCATTGTTGCCGTTCGGTTGAGCCACTTCCAGGTATCCTTCCATCCAGAGTGGAGGCATCATGACAATGGGTTTGTACATGTGGTAGTCATCCTTGGATGATTCTGTGGTAGGCAATGGATATCGCAGATGAACCTTGGTGGCAAACTGAAAGGCCAATACTCTGGTGGCGTCCTCCTCATCAGCATCATCAACTGGATCCATTGCTACAGTACCATGCTGGGACTTCCACTCTAAATGAACCATGACAGCATGTTGGGGGCTGTCAAATGCTGGCAGTTCAATGTCAATGACTTTTTGTGATTCTAATGTGAGAGAATAGTTGCCAGTAATGTCCATTGATCTTGCAGCAGAAGTCTCATCGGTGGTTGTTGTTGGATGTACCGGTAGTAGCTGTACGTTCCATTGATGTTCGTCAAAGGCATCTTCGGTATCCATAAACATATCACTGGGTATCAGAAGCAGGAAGGATGCAGTCATTTTTTGTGGCTCCTTGGTTTGTCCTTGCTGCTGCTGCAATGGAATCTCGATACGGTGGTGTAGCAATCGGTGCATCCCACCGGTCGACGACAAGCTGGTCTGAATGACCACATTTTGGGACCGGCCGTGTTGCTGCTGTGTGTTCCGTTCGGATTCCAGGTGACTGTTGTCGTTGTTCTTGGTTGTACTGGTTTTAGATGGTAGAGTATCGTCGTCGTTTCCAAAGAGACTCCATAACCAGTCTGTTGGGGAACCAGACAGTGCCTTGTGATCATGATCTTCACCCTGCATTATGGGTCGTAGGTCAGGAGGATTTGTCTTGTGATCATGTCCATTCCACCAATATCCCTGTCCCAGTTTCTCGTTCCAAAAGTAATGTTGTCGGTTTCCTAGTACTAGTGGCCCTTGGTGTTGTGGATTGTGCTCCTGGAAGAGAGGCACTTGATAGAGAAATCGAATGGTCGTGGCGTTTGAAGGAAGTTGAGATCTGGTGGTGGTGTTTAGGGGCACTGAGGATCCCTGATTTTGACACTCTTGGGTGACGGCATCTGTTTCCCTCAGAAGCTCTTGGAGCACTGTTGCATTTTTTGCCAATTCATCACCACTCTCCACAGACACCATAGCAGCAGCAGCATCAACGGCTCGCTTCATGGCTCGACAACAAAAGCCTGCCAAACCACCTTCTTGTTCTTCCACGAACACGAGCTCCCCGGGGGGACCATGGCAGGTCATGACGAGAAGCACACTACTGCTGTCGTTCTGCGCCACACTTCCCCACGACAAGGCAATTCCCATGGCCGTCTCATCGTTGTTCTTCGTGTTGTCGTTCAAATCAACAGCACTGCCAATGACCGTAGCGACACTGGCAGCACCCAGCCACAGGAGCAACACACCCGCCACCCACCAGCGCATCATGTGGCGATAGTAGTACTGGGTGTCTTCTTCGCAATGTTGCTGCTTGCTGTCGTTGCTTTGATACAACGACAACACTTGCTGGTCTTCTGGCACCACTGCCAGAGCCGTCGATGGCTTCTTTTTATTTTTTCGCAAAAACTCCACCGGCACTACAGCGCTTCCTGTCGTGTGCAGCAGGTGCAAGCAATGATGGCTATACTTTACCAGTGGACTAATCACAAACACTAAGATCTCAGGTTGGTAATACAACCAACAGCAACCACAGATGCAGAGGATCACGCTTTCCATTTAGCTCATGTTACTGACTGTCAGTACTTTGTTGTTTGCATGTCCCGGGTGAGAAGAGGGGATGATGGTCGTTGTGATGTTGCGATGGTTGCCGGGTAATTGCCGTTGCGGTGTTGCCCGTGCCCTAAAAAAAGCATTCGAAAAATCGAATTTCATCGATTCGATTGATTCGAATCAAAATCGATTCGATCGATTCTGATTCGATTCGAATGATTGAGTCCATGTTTGTATCCTATCAGCTCCAATGACCACCCTCAAGCCCCATCCGCATCTATCCCACCAGGACCACTTCAGGCCCAACACCAGGGCCCCCTTCAGGACCCATGCTGGACACACTTCAGAAGTAGCACCAGGACCCACACTGAGCCCCGCCTCTGGCACCTATCATGCCCCAATCCTGGCACATCTCCAAGCCCCAGTCCTCCTGGTTCGCTCTACTTGAAGCCCAACTCCTGGATCCACTCAAGGCTGCAATGCTAGGTGGACTCGACTCAGGGACCAGCACAAGGATCTACCCAGGGACCGGCCACCCCTTGTACCAGTACATCTGGAGACCCCACTCCTGGTTCCAATCCATGCCCCACTCTTCTAGGCCCAACACAAGAATCACTGCCAGGCCCTAAAGGCACAGCTTGTAGGCGGGTGTGCCAGTGAAGGGGACGCCTGAAGAGCCAGATCTTAAGCCATAGCAGAGCCAAGGGCAACACACCGAGGTACGACAACCTTTTGTGTCTGAAGCAGGGCGAAAGCAACGCTTCATGTTCGTAGTGGGAATTGTAGCCTGGAGGGGCTAACGGTATTTGGTGACGGCCTGGCAGACTCACAATCCTCAAAACAAATGCTACTTTACACGGAGAAACATTACTGTACTTTGCACAATGTTCACCAACACCACATACATAAATCACACCCTCAGACTAACTCGCAACAGTCTGGCTGGCGTAAATCACCTTCGAGAGGCCACCAGTCATTCTCCGAGTATTGGCGATGTCGGTCTTCGTTTTCTTCTTGTCTTTTCCCTTTTTCGTTTCTTGCTCGGCACTATAGGCTTCCCAATCGAAAGGTGGTGGAGAATCGTCTTCGTCATGCTTGGAAATGCCCTCAACGCTCTTTGTCCGGCGAACTTTCTTGGGTGTTTTGACGTCTTCCACTTCTCCCACCACTCTTCCCTTGAGCGACTTGTGTCGCCTCGTGTCACCCAATCTCGACGCTGACATACCATCGTCATCCCCCCTATTGGCACGAGGAATACGACCAGTTCGCAAAGACTTGTTTCGACGTGCCCGTGCTCCTCGTTCCGTTGTCATGACAGAGCCGTCGTCATCACCATTTCCACGACGTTGTCCATTCGGGGTACCCAACACTGCTTGAAGCGTCTGAGCACGCTGACGATCGGCACGGTGTCGACGCATGGTTGCTGCTGATCGTGCTTGTCGGCCTTTTTGCGGGACTTCCAGCGAAGCGTCGGATCCGCACATTGCGATGGACGCTTTGTCGCCGTCAATTTGAAGTTGGGCAAAATCTTGACCATCCTCGTCCTCGTCGGATGATGAACCTGATTGGGAACGATCCATTGTACCGCCAGAGTACTCAGATCCCAGAAGCTCGAGCTCGTCGTTGTCCGAGTCGGAATCAGATCCCAACACTTCCGAGCCTTTTGAGTCTTTCTTCTTTTTCTTCTTCTTTGCCATTTTGCTGCCAACTTTTCTGAATTTTTTGAAAACCATGATCGAACCTCGCTTCTTTTTGGATTTCTTTTCTTCCGGATCATCTGCTAGATCATCCAATTCGGAAAAGCTGGCCTCGAATCCACCGGATATTCTTTTTTGTTCCTCGATAACCTCTTCTTCCTTGTCGTACTCGTCTGCGAGCGACTGAAGATCCATGTCCGCTTCCGTTTCATCCTCATCGTCGTCGTCCCCAGTGTCATTGCCATCTTCCTTCTTTTTCTTCTTTTTCTTCATCGTCAGCTTTCGGCCAACTTTTCGGGCAAACTTGCCCATGCGCGATTTTTTGGTGGTGGATTTCACCGACTCTGCGACCGACGTATCGTCGTCGTCATCGTCGTCGCTTCCTTTTGGAGATTGTTGCAGTTTGGAAAGTCCGGCGAGTGAGTTTCGTTTGGAGGACCGCCCTTTGTCGCTACTGTCATTGGACCCCACAATTTTGATATCGTTTGGATCCAATGAGCTCAAGATTTCGTCTGCGGTACTGGCTTCTGACAAGTCGGGCTCCGAGCCCCTTCGTCTGGGCCCGGCACCCCGTCGATTGGATATGGTTCTCCTTCGACGAGAACTCACGTCCCGCATACTGTTGTTGCCGTCTCGCCCCTGCAGCGTACGCGTTCTACGGAGTGGCGGTCCAGCGCCATTTCGTGCACTCACATCTCGCAAGGACGAATTTCCCCCCGACTTGAGCGGATCACCATCCAACGATTCGCGTCGAGCTGGACGCCGACCTCCACGTCTCGCCGAAGCGGACCGAGAAACCGACCGTCCCGCAGGAGCTCCTCGACGCACTGCGGAACGACTTCGACTCCGTTGAACCGAGCTGCTGTCCATTCCACCCGTGGATCGTCGCAAGGACCGATCGCTCATGGCGGAACGTCCACGTCGAATCGATCTACGAGACTGCGAAGAGTTTTCGCTCAGTGCATCTGAGGAGCTGTTTCCCATCTCTTCTCTGCCATCTGTCGAGCTACTGCCACTGAGTTGCTTATCCGAACCATTCAGCTCGGGTTTGTCATTGTTGTTGTTTTTGTTGTTTTTGCTATTCGTGTTGACTGTCGATTTGCTCTGTGCACTTGCCACACTCGAACCATCATCTGTCTGGAACGATTGTAGAGACTCTTCTGCTTTTTGGTGGTACTTGTTGATGATACTCAAGGACACATTGGCTCCTCCGAGTCCTCTCTTGGGGGACTTTTCCCGTTTGGTTTCCCCATTTAGAGACGACCGTCGGTTGGGTTTTCGGCGGTTGCTCACGGATTTGGACCGTGAGCGATTGGATCGCAAGGATCTGGAATCGTCAAAATTCCTTCGTGATCGTCGACTTCGACTGGAGGTGGAAACGGCCGAGGAAACACTTCGATTGTCGTCATCGTCATCACTCCGTCGTGACGACGAGTTTGGATTATCACCCACAAGTGTCAATTTGGCCAGATTTAGTTTCCTGCCTCGAGCGCTGTTTTGTTGTTGTGGTGGTTGAAATTCGTTCGAGGCACGACGTCGACTTCGATGATGTGCCGCGGAGGATCCACTGTTATCGCCATCCTTTTGATAGTCATTCGATGCGCGCCGTCGACTTTTGGAGTGTGCCGCCGAGGATCCACTGTCATCGGTCTCCATGGGATTTCTCATGACTTGAGATAGACTCAAAGAGGCCTCTCCCTCTTCTATTGTCATGGAGGGGCTGCTACCTTTGGATTGCAGTTTTGGTCTTTCAACTTTCGGCGTTTCAAAGGGCGCCAAAATGGGCATGGAAGAGTCCATTACTTCTTCTGCTTTCTCTTCTTTGGATTGTGGTCTCCTGAGTTTTCGATTCTTCTTGTTGTTGGCCGCCCCGACTTTTGGCTTGGGTGCCATGGGTTTGGGTGTTTCCAGAATGGCTTCCAAAAATGGCAACGATGCGTCCATATCCGGAGCCGCACCTTTGCTTTCCGTGTAGTATTCTTCAATCATATCATCAATATCTTCTTGTGCCATATTTTCCACAATTTCATCCGTGGGACGCGGTTTTTTGTTTTCCACCATACTCAAGATGCTGAATTCTCCCGAGCTGTCATCTTGATCGTCATCTTCTGATTCTGAGTCTTCCTCCTGTTTGGAGGACCGTTTTTCTTTTAATTTTTGCCTCTGCTTCATGTGTGACAAACTGGCCTGTGAGATGGTACTTTCTACCATTTCTTGCACGGATACCCCATCATCGTCCTCCTCTTCTGCTCGTTCATCGACATTGTTCATGGATTGAAACAGTTTGCTCAATTTCTTTCCCTTGGATGGAGTTTTATTGGCAGCAGCAGCATCCATGCCACCCGAGAGACTGGCATTGCCACTGCCACCCGGTGTCGTCGGTCCCAAGGTTTGAAAGATTTCACTCAATTTCTTCCCCTTGGGAGTGCTACTAATGGCGCTGGAGCCGTTGCTGCCACGTGTTGCTGGAGTTGCGGGGACATCTGGTTGTGTATTGAGTTCTCTGGATTTGGTCGTCAACCGTTTGGATTCATTGACTAATGCATGTATCCGTGCGACAGTGTTATCGGCCTTTTCCTTTTCTTTGGTCTTTTCCTTTGCAGTCTCTACAACAGCGGCCGCTTTGAGGGCCTGCTTCTTTTGATAAGCGGCTAATCGGTCTTGAGTCTTCTTGGCGGCATCTCGTACGGCTGCCTTGATGCTGTCTTCGCTGGCTTGCTCACCATCGGACATGGTCGTCGAAGTCGTCGTCTTGGGAGATGGAGATAGATTTATTGTTGTGTTTTCCAGGCGTGGAACCATTACGACAAACTACTCTCTCCTTATCTTGTCTTATCTCCTACTGTGTGCTTGATTGCTAAGGGTAGCCTAGCTAGTAGCTCTTTTTCTCTACTATACCGGTATATAGGGAGATAATGGATGGATAATGGTTGGATAATGGGTAGTCTCAGCCTCAACCTCAGCTATAGTCACCGTTCTGTTCAGAAATCAGGAACAAAGGATAACGGCTTGGGTAGTCTTGGGTATATACCTCAGACTATCTACCGCTTCCAGCTAGCTAGCTCCGCTTGGCCTACAATGAATGGAGCTATTGGCTGCTATTACAGCAGGCTGGCCAACCTGAGGCGCTTGCTGATACGGGAGACTGCACGGAACCTTGCTTGCCTCGTTTCACTAAGACTTACTCGGATTAATGCAACGGGGCAATGGTGGCCACCAGCAGAAGATGAGCCAACGAACGAAGCGGATCATGCATTCGCTTGGTTACTGAGTGTCAATGGCAGCAGCAAACACGAAACCAGTGAGATAATGAATTTGAGTCACATAAGGGGTAGCATTTAGCTAACGTTTGCTGCGGCAAAAGGAGGCAAAACACCGCATGCGTGGTAAATGAACATGCCAGAGACATAGGCATAGACATTGGGACATATTCAGCGTCAAGTAAGAAGAGCTGTTCATAATGGCGATAATTAATTCCTGAGTGGTGGATAAGCAGTCACATGGGGAGCGCAACAGGCCTTTGTGCCCAAGTATCACTCAGAGCTCACTTAGTGCAAAGGCAGTACCGATGTCTGAGGGAGAAGGAACAAGATGTCAGTGTAAACTTGATTGAACTCAAGCGATCAAGAACTTAAAAGAACTTATCAAGCAGCTGAAATCGATCTTGCATTTCCAGATAAGACCAATCAATATATCCTACTGCACTGCCTCAGCGAACTTTGGAACAGATAGATTGATCTGTAGTACAGAGCTAGTACAGCCTGTGCTTCCTTGTGACTCCGCTTAAATCTTCCGGCATCTTGTGGCTTGATAGGACCGCTACGCACCAACGAGCTACTTACGTTACCACTTTTCCCAAACACCCATTCCATTCGATTCGATTCGATTCGATTCTGCTTGTGTTATGTGATAGTCACTGATGAGTATTGCGACATTGCGACAGTCCTTGCAAGGGCCTTTCACCTTCGAAAAGGATTACTTACGGAGCTACTTACGGGGAGCTTCCTTGTGATTGATGAGCTATTGATGCTGGCCATTGGTAAACTGGATCTTATCAACATACTCCGAGTAATGGTGAGTGCCAGGCAGTGTGTGCTAATGTGGAGCAGCTGCGGAGTTTTCCACTTCTTCGTGCAACCAGCTTTGCGATTGCCATCGAAAGCCGTAAAAGAAAGTGCATGAGTGCATCGAATGCTTCATGGGTGTTTCAAGTTTCCATTGCCGTACCTTTTCTTTGTACTCGAGTACAGGTTACAGGTAGTCTACCTGAGGAACATATCGGGAAGAAAGGCTCTTGTATCCTTAGCTTTTGCTTGTGGGAGAGGTACCGGTACCTCCCTGCTCCCTGCTATTTATTCGAATGCTCACCCTGGCCTGCCCAGCAAACCTTGTTCTGGATCTACTGCACTACTAGTACCTTCTGTCTGGCTATTACTGACTGTTCTGACCAAGCCCACATACAACAGGCTGGCTAAATGAGCAGGAAATCTTTCGTGTTGAAGCAGTCAATAGGACCGGTTGGGCACAGTTGTACCGGCAACAGCGAGTCATGTATGTAGTCTATAAAGCGAACTGTTGATGAGGCAAGCCAAAGCAGATTCGCCCGGGTACCGGTGACTAAATAGCTAACGGTAAGACCGCCACAAGCTACTAGCTACCGGTACGCTAGCCGCCTAAACAACAACCAACCAGAACCTACCGTAGCCAGAAAAGCAATCGAAAGCGAGGGCCGAGTGACTAAATTGCCGGTACAAGTACCGGAACAATGTTCTGCCTTGTTGCTGTTCCTGATTGCACCCCTTTTCACATTTATATATGCATTGTATTGCAAACATAGAATCCACAGGTCCTTGGCATCCATTATCTTTCTGAAAGTGTCTCTACTTCAAAGAAAGCCTTATGATAAGTTTTCGCCCCTGCAGAACAATAATTGTAGATCCCCGCGATTAAAAAGTTGCTCCCTAGCTTTACCCTGCACAGAGGGTCTGGTTTGAGATGCAACATCACGGGAACAGGAAACAGGAACACAACAGGAAACACTGAGAACCTCGCATCGCCGATCAACGCTGGGTCCTCTTCATACCATACCATCCCTTGCTTGCCCTGTGCTATACAATAATCTATCTGTTGCTCTCTTCTCTTCCCATGTCTATCTCTGATAATCTAGCTAGCAGGTAGTCTAGCTGGTATATACCGTATGGATATTGTTTTTAAAAGGGAGAGGAAACGATAGGGGTATCCACTGGTAGCTAGCTACCTGCAGCTAGTAGTATTATCTATCTGATCAGCATCATGGTATCTCCAATAATACTAGAAGACGAAGATGGTTCCAGTTCGGTGGAAGACAAGGAACAGACGGCTGGATTGGCGTCGCATGAAAATGGATCCCTTGAGGCTGGCAAGAAGAAGAAGATTGACTTGATAATTCCTCGCAAGCCAATGGAAGTGGAATACCAAGCCCGTTTGGATCATCGAGAACGAGTACGCCAACAGCAACGCGAAGAAGAACAGCGTCAGGCCGAAGAGCAAATGGAACGAACGAGATTGCAAATGGAAGAATTACAGCAGCAATTGCAAACGGCACAATCGCAACAAGAACAAGTGATTCGGACCCTGTGCGTACCATCCTCCAAACCTGCTAGCAGTAGCATTAGTGACAAGACACCATCGGTGGCACGACGGAGACGGAGTTCTCAGACGGAAGTAGAAATCAATGACGAACTACAATCTACATCTAGTACTGCCAAGAATGCAGCAGCTACCCCCATGCAACAATTGGTTCTGGAAAACTACGAGGAACTCCAAAGGATAGAAACTCAGCAGCAAAACGAATCGTTCTCCCAAGATGATGACGACGACGAAGAAAGTCTTGGCATGAACGACATTTCCGATCCCACACTGACGAGCGAGGGCGACGAAGGAGAAGAAGACGAGGAAGAAAAAAAGGAATCCGACGTGATCATGATGAGGAAACAACAACACACTACTAATCAAGATACAACACCCCAACCACCACCCATTCGTCGTGGTCGGCAAGTTCCCGCGCAAACGTCGTCTCAAAAATCCAATGCCATGCCACCCCGACGACGATCCACCCTCGAAGATTCGGGAACGTCCACCATGAACTCGGTAGAACAGTGGAAACAAAAACGAAGTCAAGTGCAACAAGCCATGGGCAATCAGAATGACGTACCGGTACAACCTACTCGACGAAACAACAGCAGCCAAAACACACCACCCCGCAATGTACGACGGAAACGATCCAGTTCACTCACCGAAATGGATCGACGGAATGGTCGTCACAATACTACTAACCAAAAGGAAGGAGATGAGACACCCAAAAACGGCTTTTTCGATTGGAAAGGGCATCGAAAAACCAGTCGAGGAGGACGAAACAATTCGCTTTCGGCATCGGATCATCCAGAGCCCCATTCGGCAACGGTATTACGAAAACCAGAACGACGACATACGGGAGATCCACCCGACGAAACCGAAATGTCCGAACGAACGTCCCAATTTCGATCCCTCCAACAATGCCACACCTTGCAACAAGGATTGTTTGAAGAAACCATTGACATGATACAACAGGAATCGGAATCGGTCGTCGCCATTAGTAGTGTCAATGATCCCGTCTCACAGCATCGACGGAAATTGGAAATTCAACCATCGCCCGTCGAACAAACCATTCTGATACCACCATCACAGCCACAACACGCACACGAACCACCCGTCTTTTGTACACCGCGCGAATTGCAATCCATGAGTCACACTAATAGCGACAATAATACGAATCTATCTCCCAGTCCCCCACGACGAACCGTCAACAAATCACTCCTCGACATGGGATTTGGACCCAACAATTACGACTTTTCCGACGACGACGACGAAGAGGACGAAGAAGATCAGCAAGTACGATTGCGGAGACAACAAAACGTCTTGCATTTGTCCAGTTCTTGGAATGATCTTTTCCAGTCGTCCAATTCATCCATCGCAGCACAATCGCAATTGTCCATACCACGACGGAGAGGATCCATGAGCAGTGACAGTGATGGAATTTTGCAATTTGAACCCGATGACGACGACGATGACGAAAGCGCTAATAATAATAAGCAAGAGACCGTCCAAGAGTTAGAGCAGGAAGCCCGACCGACCATACATATTTCGCCACTCAGTCCTGGATCCATCAAACGAGACAACGAATTGTTGCACATGAGTGGGTCTCTCACAGACTTTTTTGTCCACGACGAAGACGATGAAAATGACGATGTCTTTGACGAAAACTACAACAAGTCACTGGAATCGTGGAGGAATAATCAGCAAAACAATAGCGGGGAAGCACGAAAGAACCTCAGTGATTCCAATATCAATTACGATTCTGCCACGGATTTGGCGTTACATCTGCAAATGCAGGGGTCGGGGAGTTCCAACATGTCCATGTTTGAGTTTTCCCATTCTTCGGATGACCCATCGAAAATGTTGAGCAAATTCCAGGAATCCATGTCACAATACACCGAAGCGGGAGGTGTCAATGCCAGCACGTTGATGGAGCATTTACGAAAAACTCGTGGCAAGCCTGCCTTTCGGTGGGATGCCCGTGGTGGTAGCAAGAGTAGTGATAATTGGGGTGGTAGCAGTCATCACGGTCGCACGACAATCACAAGCAACAGTACCAGTATTGGCAGCAGACACGGAAGAAAGGCTCCAACTAATCCCATGAGAGAACTGCGCAAAAATCAGCAAGCAAAACGAAAGAGCGAAGTCAATCCCAAAGGCCAAAAACATCAGCATCGCAGTAGCATTACCAAGGTCCCAGATGCTGGCAACACCAAGGACATTACACCTGACAATAGCAAAGACCATCATCATCATCACCACCATCATGGCCACAACACCAGCAACAGTAGTACTCCAGCCAATAATGAAAAACCACCGAGCAGACGTAGCCGGCGGGGCAGTCTCGGAGAGCACCTTCAAAAGAGCAATCAAAAGCTCATGGAAGTTTCAGCCGAACCAGGTGAATCTTCCACAGTACAACCAGCTTTGCCGGAGGCGACAAAGAAGTCCTCGTCTCCAGTCAAGAAAGAAAGAACCAGACGTCTACCCGGTCGTGAAGAGAACAAAGCCAGACCCAAACGCATATCTAGTGGCGAAGAGAACGAACAAGGCAGGCGTCTACCACGTCGTGAACGCAGAAATCGACCAGGGCGAACTCGGTCGCGATCCTTGTCAGATTTGCAGCGCCTGCGCCCCGACACGAACAAGGCTAATAAAAAGAACTCCGATCGCAGCACTGAAGAGGATGACTCGTCCGCTACAGACGACCCTCAGATTACCAAATACAAGAGCCTCGTCGGGGATTTGGTAGAACAAGAAAAGTCATCAGCAGCAAGGAAAGAAGAACGAGATGGCGGAGAAGTCAACAAAAACTCGTCAGCGCCGAACCGACCCAATCGACCGTACAATTGGGCCAACCCTCGATCGCGCCGTCGGGCCTCGTATGATTGGATGAAACACCAAGACGGCAACGCCAAAGACAACATGCTCGCCTTGGTGGGGCAGGATGTCCTAGTGAAGGACGGCGATGACGATTTCCCTATTAGAACCCCCCGACGAGGTCCTCTGGAGCGTCATCGTTCGAACTCGCTTACCAACCTGATAATTGTAATACATGAGGGCTGGGAGAAGGAGCACGAGGATCCTGATTACAATTGGAAAAAATGCAAAAACCACGACCCGATCTTGACCTCCGATAGTGTGATGCATTTCACAGGTACAACTCCTGCTGGTGCCCTATCCGAAATGTTGCAGGAGGATGATGGTAGACGACAACGGCTGACAGACGAGCCAAGCTCCAGTTTCTCTTCCAGATCCAGTCGGTCGGTGGATGTAGCAGCCAAAAAGCCCATGCGTCGGTTCACTGCTTTGGTGCAAAATGGCGCAGGGCAGATTGAAAAGGAACCTGATTTGCATGCGTCTTATGATTGGGATCAGCACAACCAAAACCCTACGCCAAAGGGTTCCTCAGAAGCACATCAAGCGGAGTCTCTGATGGAGGAGAGTATGCTCATTGTGAACGAGGACGGCGAGAGTCATTTCCTTCGGTCTGACGAGGAGGAGGAAGAAGATCTTGTACCCGCTGCTGGTTCGCGAAGCAGAGCTAGTTTAGGTGCGTATCTGTCTGCATCGGCATCCGCAAACAATAAGAGCACGGAAGCAATCGAAAAGATATTTGACTGGACGGCGGCACTTTGCAAGGGAGAACTCGACAAATCAACGATAGCTGGTAGCAGTGACAATCCGAGCTCTGAAACCAGCAGCGCAATGCCTTCTAGTGCCAGCTCGGTTGACGTTGCAGCTAAGAAACCATTACGGGCATCCACGATGGACCTGAGCTTCTCAGACCTCGATGTTGAAGAAGCGGAGCCTGCAGCATTGCCAAGTGCTGCCGACGGGGATGAACCGGGCGACAAACGACACTCATTAGAGGAATTCATTGGCAGCAAATCTTCCATAATGAAAGGCGTTGGATCGGTAGCTGGACAGACAATGGACCCCTCTATAGTCACTGGTGCTGCTGTATTGGGATCTACGAGAAGCGAGAGAAAAACGGCCCCGGACGGAGTAGCGTCCGTAGCAAATGAAAACAGCAAGGGCGAAGATGATCCGAAGGCTTCAATACCGGAAGCAGCAAAAGAAAACCCAGATGCTGCTGTCCTCGATGCAGCCCAAACTCACAACGCAAAGCGTGACGTACATGGATCTCGTGACAGACGAAGCAGAGGCGTACAGAGAACTCGATCAAGATCGCTAACGGATGTTGGCCGTGCAGGAAGACGAAGCAAGGATGAAAAACCTCGGGGGTCCAGGCGACGAGCGAGTATAACAGTCAATCAGTCGGCCCCCAAGGATGGAAGCGGAAACAGCCGAGGGCGTGATAGCGCCAGACCAGAGGTCCGTCGTACTCGTTCAAAGTCCCTCACGAAATTCTTTGAGGGTGAAAAGGCATCCCAAACAGAGACGGGACAGACTTCGACAACCAGAAGCCGCGGCAGCCGTGAAAGTATGACCAAGAGCCGAACCAGCGAGACGACTGCAGAAGCAGAACGTGACCGAAATCGAGGCCGAGACAGAGATAAAACACGCGATCGCAGGCGCTCCAGGTCTAGGTCGTTAACTGATATGGACTCAATGAGACAAAAGGATGCCGCAAAGGGCGCTGCAAAGCGAGCTTCCATGGCGTCTGAAACACAGAGACCAAGGGCACCCGACAAGGAAAACCGCCGTCGTTCCACAACGTCAGAGGCGGAAAGGATGAAGAGGGGGAACAAGAGTTCGGGTAGACTTAGCAAGACAACCCACCACGCCAGGGCGCCGAACAAGCACTCAAGAAGAACCAGCGACCGTCTCGGCACAAGTCTCCATCTGAACCTCGGAGCAGTATCAGCTTCCAGTGAAGCGTCGGCTTCTCGAGTGCGAGGACGCGAAAACGGAGATCGCAAACCAGAATTGCGACGACGACGGTCTAGTTCCTTGTCGGATATGGAAGGCATGGACAAGGAACGTCACGGAAGACGCGAGAGTACAACAAACAAGGAAGGTACGGGAAGATCAGGCCGACGCAACCGACGCGGCGATTCAATGGGCCAGAGTGAGCATGTTCAACCACGTCGGCGTCGACCCGAACGACAAAGATCAAGGTCGCTGACAAACATGGATCAAAGGGATCGCCGGGGCAAGAAGCGAGAGGTGGCGAGTGGAGTGGATGGCAACCCCCAGCAAGAGGGTGTTACGACACCTCGCCCCAATATGCTTTCCTACGATTGGCAACAGCACAGCGCATCTACAACGTCCATGATGTCGAATTCTTCTAAACCGCAGCGTGACAGAAGGGCTACCCTCGCACGAACACGATCTCAGTCACTATCTAGTCTTTTCGGCGACAAGAGCCGAGGCCACACGTCGGATGCATCTATCGAGGGGTCAACGCACAAAGGAGGGTCAGCCGGGTACAACTGGTCTCAACATGGCCGCACAGACGAAACAGGAAGAACAGTTTCTTCTGGGGCCGACGGAGCGGTGTCACCGGGGCCAAACCCACGGCGCACTAGGAATCTACGCGGAGAAGGACCACGGAGCCCTAGGAAGCGTCAAGATGCCGGTTATGATTGGAATGCACACGTCAGCCCGACCTCCAACAAAGGCGACGATGGTGGAGTGGACAAACGTTCACTGTTGTCACGATCCAAGAGCCGATCGCTGACAGATTTGGGCCGGTCCATCGCGGACCTGGACGGTCTCATCACGACCAGCATCGAGGAGAGTCCATTTGAGAATTCTGATCGATCTAAGATTTCTGCTGATGCATCCAGCAATAGCTTGGCCATTTCAAGAAGCTCGCTGAACGCGTCTGGTATTGATTTGCAAAAGAGCATTACTGCAACTCAGGCGGCTACTAGTCTACAAACCGCAACACCCCTGAGCATGATCATCTCGGACGCTCTGGGAGAAGGTTCGGAACAGACAACAGGCGATTCGACAACCGAGTCATCAAAGTGAGACAGCGCCAAGCTGGCTACTAGCTAGATAATGTCTCCTGCTGCGTTTGGCGGCCTTCTTCTTGTCAATAACCGAAAGCAGCTACAGCTACTACACCAGTGGCTAGCTGGAACTTTGGAATGTACCATACTGCTATGGTTTTGTTGGTCTACGGCCATGTCGTGATGTTGGGCCTGGAGTGCGGCCATGAGTAGTAGCAAGAGGGCCTGCCTGGAGATAGATGTGCCAGAGTGGGGCTCAGAATTGGTGCTTTGCTATTTCTGAAGTTTGTCCTGCAGCCTTGTGAGAGAGGACCCTGGCTGACGTGAATAGAGGAATCAGCCTTTTGTGAACTTTAAGTATTACTGGCAGTAGCTGCCTGCCTGTGGAGCTTTACGGCGCATATTGTAAATTGATCTCTGATCCAGTGTCAAAGATGAAGCAAACAAAAACAATAAAGGAACTAGCTAGTGCTTGGATGAACTTCGGTCAAGGGAACTTGAGGCTTTGCGTTTGAGGGCAGGTCTCTTCAACTTGGCCTTGTTGCATTTTCCTGCTTGAGGGGAACTCCATTTGTGAGGTGCTTCACGCAAGAGCCCGTAGAGCAATGGGACAAGCTGTTGGACACGGACACCTTTCGGAGTGCCTGCTTGTGAAATCACCGAGGTTACTAGTTGGGCCATGTCCAGAGACTTCTCCGTACCTCGCAACAGATGCCTACCAAAGCGGTTGAGTGTTGTGTGGTAGACAATGATTTCATCCTTTTCGGTTTTCTCGCACATGTGACCATAGTGCCAAGCCAGCCGTATTTTGACATTTGTCAGAGTTGTATTCCGCTGCAAGATCTCAATCATGCGGGCCGCATATGTTTTGGCATGGACTCTACCGATACTTGTAGCTATTAGTTGGAGCTTGAACTCCTGCAGCTTTGAGGCATTGCCCACTCCAGCCAAAGCATCCAAAAGTGGCAGCAAAATCTTTTTTCTTGTTTTTTTCTCATTGGCAATTTCACAGGAGAATATTTCGAGAGACTGCAACGGACCAGATGCAATTTGGTAGGAGATGGCTTCAACCAGGTTACAATCAATAGCATCTCCTACGTCGATTCGCAATTTCAAAACGTCCAGCTTTGTCATGTTCCGCACCTTTGATGCCAATGCAGACCTTGCTTCTATGATGTCTCCATCTCCGAATTTGCTTGGAAGAACGTGGGAGAAATTGTATCATTCTGCTTAGGACAGCATCGCCAATATCCCTTCCATGTGCTGATTCAAATGCCTTGGTAAAGGGGCTTCTGATCTTTTTAGGATTCTCGGAATACGTTAGGGCTTCTGGAAACAAGACAAAGAAAGTCTCGAACCGCGTTAGCTGTCCCAATTCAAGTATGTGCAACATGATTGGAGCAATCGATTTTGGTTCCATTACGCTGGGATCCACTATATACACGGCCCTTGAGAAACTCAATGACATCACGCCTCGGACCATGATAACATGCATCCCGGAAGACATCATCCGTCATTGCTGCTGGATCTGCTTGATAGACCAAACGGACCATCTCCAAAGGTGCTCCTGTGACCACCAAGTTGTGAAGTGGCGACAGGCCTTGGAGGTCATCCAAGTACACAAACTCCCTATTGGGATTCTCTCCGTCTTGAATCTGAAGAAGTGGCATGGGTCGTCAAAATCTTCAAAAATGATCAAGCAGTATCAGGTACTGGAAAGTCCCGCAAATGCTGAAATCGCTGAAAAGCTATGTAAAAGTGTTGAATTTTGGTTCAACAGTCAAGAGATTCGTTAAACAGTTAGTCAACACTTTTTCAACACTTTTCAACACCTTTTCAACACTTTTTCAACACTGTTGAATACAGTTCAACACTGTTTTCAACACCTGTTGAATCTATTACTAGTAGTTTGCAGTAAAAGTGTTGAAAACATTGTACAAAAATTCAACAGTATTTTCAACAGTTGCTGAAAGAGAATCAACAGTTAATCAACACTTTTTCAGCACTTTTCAACACATAATCAACACTTTTTCAACACTTATGATCATTATTCAACAGTTCAAGGTGTTTAATTAAGAGAGTTTCAAGGAAATTCAGCTTTTGCGGGACTTTCCAGTAGCAAGTAGCAAGGCTTGGCGCTGTAGCCATGACTCTAAGCGGAGCAATGTGGTAGCACACATGCTCCAATTAGACTGGCTGCCACTGCAGATAGTGCTAGGAGCCACTCATTGTTCTGAGCAGCCACCAAAGGAAGAGGACAATGATGTCCTTTTTTTACTGCTGTATGCCGTTGGTTGGCTGGAGCCATGTTGTTTGTTGAACGATCGATCGATCGTTCGTGTCGTTGCGCTTTTCGGCCGATGACCGACTCCGGCCTTGATGCGAGGACAACGGCTACCGCCACGGCTACCGCCACCACTGCTACTGCTACTGCTACTACTGGGGTTGTTGCTGGGGCCTTTGTTCGTTCGTGGCGCCGCTACTCGACCATGGCTACGGCTACTACTGTTGGTCGTTGTGCAGTAGTGCCCTTCGGCAGGAGCTTTGGTGTCGATCGAACGAACGAACGACCGAGTGATCGTTTGGGTTTTTCTCGTGTGCTTTTCACGATGACCGAGTCGATCGATCGTACTGGACTCCTCTATGAGTATAAACTGCTTGGACTCCTCTACGAGTATAAACTGCTTTGACTCCTCTACGAGTATAAACTGACTGGACTCTGGCCTTGATGCGTTCACCACCTGGTGTTATCCACGATGGACCTGAGCTTCTCAGACCTCGATGTTGAAGAAGCGGAGCCTGCAGCATTGCCAAGTGCTGCCGACGGGGATGAACCGGGCGACAAACGACACTCATTAGAGGAATTCATTGGCAGCAAATCTTCCATAATGAAAGGCGTTGGATCGGTAGCTGGACAGACAATGGACCCCTCTATAGTCACTGGTGCTGCTGTATTGGGATCTACGAGAAGCGAGAGAAAAACGGCCCCGGACGGAGTAGCGTCCGTAGCAATGAAAACAGCAAGGGCGAAGATGATCCGAAGGCTTCATACCGGAGCAGCAAAAGAAAACCCAGATGCTGCTGTCCTCGATGCAGCCCAAACTCACAACGCAAAGCGTGACGTACATGGATCTCGTGACAGACGAAGCAGAGGCGTACAGAGAACTCGATCAAGATCGCTAACGGATGTTGGCCGTGCAGGAAGACGAAGCAAGGAGAAAAACCTCGGGGGTCCAGGCGACGAGCGAGTATAACGTCAATCAGTCGGCCCCCAAGGATGGAAGCGGAAACAGCCGAGGGCGTGATAGCGCCGACCAGAGGTCCGGTACTCGTTCAAAGTCCCTCACGAAATTCTTTGAGGGTGAAAAGGCATCCCAAACAGAGACGGGACAGACTTCGACAACCAGAAGCCGCGGCAGCCGTGAAAGTATGACCAAGAGCCGAACCAGCGAGACGACTGCAGAAGCAGAACGTGACCGAAATCGAGGCCGAGACAGAGATAAAACACGCGATCGCAGGCGCTCCAGGTCTAGGTCGTTAACTGATATGGACTCAATGAGACAAAAGGATGCCGCAAAGGGCGCTGCAAAGCGAGCTTCCATGGCGTCTGAAACACAGAGACCAAGGGCACCCGACAAGGAAAACCGCCGTCGTTCCACAACGTCAGAGGCGGAAAGGATGAAGAGGGGGAACAAGAGTTCGGGTAGACTTAGCAAGACAACCCACCACGCCAGGGCGCGAACAAGCACTCAAGAAGAACCAGCGACCGTCTCGGCACAAGTCTCCATCTGAACCTCGGAGCAGTATCAGCTTCCAGTGAAGCGTCGGCTTCTCGAGTGCGAGGACGCGAAAACGGAGATCGCAAACCAGAATTGCGACGACGACGGTCTAGTTCCTTGTCGGATATGGAAGGCATGGACAAGGAACGTCACGGAAGACGCGAGAGTACAACAAACAAGGAAGGTACGGGAAGATCAGGCCGACGCAACCGACGCGGCGATTCAATGGGCCAGAGTGAGCATGTTCAACCACGTCGGCGTCGACCCGAACGACAAAGATCAAGGTCGCTGACAAACATGGATCAAAGGGATCGCCGGGGCAAGAAGCGAGAGGTGGCGAGTGGAGTGGATGGCAACCCCCAGCAAGAGGGTGTTACGACACCTCGCCCCAATATGCTTTCCTACGATTGGCAACAGCACAGCGCATCTACAACGTCCATGATGTCGAATTCTTCTAAACCGCAGCGTGACAGAAGGGCTACCCTCGCACGAACACGATCTCAGTCACTATCTAGTCTTTTCGGCGACAAGAGCCGAGGCCACACGTCGGATGCATCTATCGAGGGGTCAACGCACAAAGGAGGGTCAGCCGGGTACAACTGGTCTCAACATGGCCGCACAGACGAAACAGGAAGAACAGTTTCTTCTGGGGCCGACGGAGCGGTGTCACCGGGGCCAAACCACGGCGCACTAGGAATCTACGCGGAGAAGGACCACGGAGCCCTAGGAAGCGTCAAGATGCCGGTTATGATTGGAATGCACACGTCAGCCCGACCTCCAACAAAGGCGACGATGGTGGAGTGGACAAACGTTCACTGTTGTCACGATCCAAGAGCCGATCGCTGACAGATTTGGGCCGGTCCATCGCGGACCTGGACGGTCTCATCACGACCAGCATCGAGGAGAGTCCATTTGAGAATTCTGATCGATCTAAGATTTCTGCTGATGCATCCAGCAATAGCTTGGCCATTTCAAGAAGCTCGCTGAACGCGTCTGGTATTGATTTGCAAAAGAGCATTACTGCAACTCAGGCGGCTACTAGTCTACAAACCGCAACACCCCTGAGCATGATCATCTGGACGCTCTGGGAGAAGGTTCGGACAGACAACAGGCGATTCGACAACCGAGTCATCAAAGTGAGACAGCGCCAAGCTGGCTACTAGCTAGATAATGTCTCCTGCTGCGTTTGGCGGCCTTCTTTTGTCAATAACCGAAAGCAGCTACAGCTACTACACCAGTGGCTAGCTGGAACTTTGGAATGTACCATACTGCTATGGTTTTGTTGGTCTACGGCCATGTCGTGATGTTGGGCCTGGAGGGCCCTGAGTAGTAGCAAGAGGGCCTGCCTGGAGATAGATGTGCCAGAGTGGGGCTCAGAATTGGTGCTTTGCTATTTCTGAAGTTTGTCCTGCAGCCTTGTGAGAGAGGACCCTGGCTGACGTGAATAGAGGAATCAGCCTTTTGTGAACTTTAAGTATTACTGGCAGTAGCTGCCTGCCTGTGGAGCTTTACGGCGCATATTGTAAATTGATCTCTGATCCAGTGTCAAAGATGAAGCAAACAAAAACAATAAAGGAACTAGCTAGTGCTTGGATGAACTTCGGTCAAGGGAACTTGAGGCTTTGCGTTTGAGGGCAGGTCTCTTCAACTTGGCCTTGTTGCATTTTCCTGCTTGAGGGGAACTCCATTTGTGAGGTGCTTCACGCAAGAGCCCGTAGAGCAATGGGACAAGCTGTTGGACACGGACACCTTTCGGAGTGCCTGCTTGTGAAATCACCGAGGTTACTAGTTGGGCCATGTCCAGAGACTTCTCCGTACCTCGCAACAGATGCCTACCAAAGCGGTTGAGTGTTGTGTGGTAGACAATGATTTCATCCTTTTCGGTTTTCTCGCACATGTGACCATAGTGCCAAGCCAGCCGTATTTTGACATTTGTCAGAGTTGTATTCCGCTGCAAGATCTCAATCATGCGGGCCGCATATGTTTTGGCATGGACTCTACCGATACTTGTAGCTATTAGTTGGAGCTTGAACTCCTGCAGCTTTGAGGCATTGCCCACTCCAGCCAAAGCATCCAAAAGTGGCAGCAAAATCTTTTTTCTTGTTTTTTTCTCATTGGCAATTTCACAGGAGAATATTTCGAGAGACTGCAACGGACCAGATGCAATTTGGTAGGAGATGGCTTCAACCAGGTTACAATCAATAGCATCTCCTACGTCGATTCGCAATTTCAAAACGTCCAGCTTTGTCATGTTCCGCACCTTTGATGCCAATGCAGACCTTGCTTCTATGATGTCTCCATCTCCGAATTTGCTTGGAAGAACTGGGAGAATTGTATTTCTGCTTAGGACAGCATCGCCATATCCCTTCCATGTGCTGATTCAAATGCCTTGGTAAAGGGGCTTCTGATCTTTTTAGGATTCTCGGAATACGTTAGGGCTTCTGGAAACAAGACAAAGAAAGTCTCGAACCGCGTTAGCTGTCCCAATTCAAGTATGTGCAACATGATTGGAGCAATCGATTTTGGTTCCATTACGCTGGGATCCACTATATACACGGCCCTTGAGAAACTCAATGACATCACGCCTCGGACCATGATAACATGTCCCGGAAGACATCATCCGTCATTGCTGGGATCTGCTTGATGACAACGGACCATCTCCAAAGGTGCTCCTGTGACCACCAAGTTGTGAAGTGGCGACAGGCCTTGGAGGTCATCCAGTACACAAACTCCCTATTGGGATTCTCTCCGTCTTGAATCTGAAGAGTGGCATGGGTCGTCAAAATCTTCAAAAATGATCAAGCAGTATCAGGTACTGGAAAGTCCGCAAATGCTGAAATCGCTGAAGCTATGTAAAGTGTTGATTTTGGTTCAACAGTAGAGATTCGTTAAACAGTTAGTCAACCTTTTTCAACACTTTTCACACCTTTTCAACACTTTTTCAACACTGTTGAATACAGTTCAACACTGTTTTCAACACTGTTATATTATTATTTGCAGTAAAAGTGTTGAAAAACTGTACAAATTCAACAGTATTTTCAACAGTTGCTGAAGAGAATCACAGTTAATCACAACTTTTTCAGCACTTTTCAACACATAATCAACACTTTTTCAACACTTATGATCATTATTAACAGTTCAAGGTGTTTAATTAAGAGAGTTTCAAGGAAATTCAGTTTTGCGGGACTTTCCAGTAGCAAGTAGCAAGGCTTGGCGCTGTAGCCATGACTCTAAGCGGAGCAATGTGGTAGCACACATGCTCCAATTAGACTGGCTGCCACTGAGATAGTGCTAGGAGCACTCATTGTTCTGAGCAGCCACCAAAGGAAGAGGACAGATGTCCTTTTTTTACTGTGTATGCTTGGTTGGCTGGAGCCATGTTGTTTGTTGACGATCGATCGATCGTTCGGTCGTTGGCTTTTCGGCGATGACCGACTCGGCCTTGATGCGAGGACAACGGCTACCGCCACGGCTACCGCCACCACTGCTACTGCTATCTACTTACTGGGGTTGTTGCTGGGGCCTTTGTTCGTTCGTGGCGCCGCTACTCGACCATGGCTACGGCTACTACTGTTGGTCGTTGTGCAGTAGTGCCCTTCGGCAGGAGCTTTGGTCGTCGACGAACGAACGAACGACCGAGTGATCGTTTGGGTTTTTCTCGTGTGCTTTTCACGATGACCGAGTCGATCGATCGTACTGGACTCTCTATGAGTATAAACTGCTTGGACTCCTCTACGAGTATAAACTGCTTTGACTCCTCTACGAGTATAAACTGACTGGACTCTGGCCTTGATGCGTTCACCACCTGGTGTTTCTGCTAGCCATGTCTTCGGCCTTGATGAGTTCACCGACTGGTGTTTCTCTAGCCACACTTGCCATGATGAGTTCACCGCCTGGTGTTTCTCTAGCCCCCTGCCATGATGAGTTGTCACAACTGGTGCTTTCTAGCTCCGCAATGGCATCTTGAGCACAACTGTGCTTACTCTTTGAGCGACCAATGTGCTTCGTCTCCCATCTTGGCGACACAACTGGTGCTTCTCTCCCTCAGCAAACGCTGGAGTGTATCGTCTCCTCCTGGCTGAACACCAGGTGGTGAACGCATCAAGGCCAGAGTCCAGTCAGTTTATACTCGTAGAGGAGTCAAAGCAGTTTATACTCGTAGAGGAGTCCAAGCAGTTTATACTCATAGAGGAGTCCAGTACGATCGATCGACTCGGTCATCGTGAAAAGCACACGAGAAAAACCCAAACGATCACTCGGTCGTTCGTTCGTTCGATCGACACCAAAGCTCCTGCCGAAGGGCACTACTGCACAACGACCAACAGTAGTAGCCGTAGCCATGGTCGAGTAGCGGCGCCACGAACGAACAAAGGCCCCAGCAACAACACCAGTAGTAGCAGTAGCAGTAGCAGTGGTGGCGGTAGCCGTGGCGGTAGCCGTTGTCCTCGCATCAAGGCCGGAGTCGGTCATCGGCCGAAAAGCGCAACGACACGAACGATCGATCGATCGTTCAACAAACAACATGGCTCCAGCCAACCAACGGCATACAGCAGTAAAAAAAGGACATCATTGTCCTCTTCCTTTGGTGGCTGCTCAGAACAATGAGTGGCTCCTAGCACTATCTGCAGTGGCAGCCAGTCTAATTGGAGCATGTGTGCTACACATTGCTCCGCTTAGAGTCATGGCTACAGCGCCAAGCCTTGCTACTTGCTACTGGAAAGTCCCGCAAAAGCTGAATTTCCTTGAAACTCTCTTAATTAAACACCTTGAACTGTTGAATAATGATCATAAGTGTTGAAAAAGTGTTGATTGTGAGTGTTGAAAAGTGTAAAAAGTGTTGATTAACTGTTGATTCTCTTTCAGCAACTGTTGAAAATACTGTTGAATTTTTGTACAATGTTTTCAACACTTTTACTGCAAACTACTAGTAATAGATTCAACAGGTGTTGAAAACAGTGTTGAACTGTATTCAACAGTGTTGAAAAAGTGTTGAAAAGTGTTGAAAAGTGTTGAAAATGTTGAAAATTTCTAACTTTAAGAATCTCTTGACTGTTGAACCAAAATTCAACACTTTTACATAGCTTTTCAGCGATTTCAGCATTTGCGGGACTTTCCAGTACCTGATACTGCTTGATCATTTTTGAAGATTTTGACGACCCATGCCACTTCTTCAGATTCAAGACGGAGAGAATCCCAATAGGGAGTTTGTGTACTTGGATGACCTCCAAGGCCTGTCGCCACTTCACAACTTGGTGGTCACAGGAGCACCTTTGGAGATGGTCCGTTTGGTCTATCAAGCAGATCCAGCAGCAATGACGGATGATGTCTTCCGGGATGCATGTTATCATGGTCCGAGGCGTGATGTCATTGAGTTTCTCAAGGGCCGTGTATATAGTGGATCCCAGCGTAATGGAACCAAAATCGATTGCTCCAATCATGTTGCACATACTTGAATTGGGACAGCTAACGCGGTTCGAGACTTTCTTTGTCTTGTTTCCAGAAGCCCTAACGTATTCCGAGAATCCTAAAAAGATCAGAAGCCCCTTTACCAAGGCATTTGAATCAGCACATGGAAGGGATATTGGCGATGCTGTCCTAAGCAGAATGATACAATTTCTCCCACGTTCTTCCAAGCAAATTCGGAGATGGAGACATCATAGAAGCAAGGTCTGCATTGGCATCAAAGGTGCGGAACATGACAAAGCTGGACGTTTTGAAATTGCGAATCGACGTAGGAGATGCTATTGATTGTAACCTGGTTGAAGCCATCTCCTACCAAATTGCATCTGGTCCGTTGCAGTCTCTCGAAATATTCTCCTGTGAAATTGCCAATGAGAAAAAAACAAGAAAAAAGATTTTGCTGCCACTTTTGGATGCTTTGGCTGGAGTGGGCAATGCCTCAAAGCTGCAGGAGTTCAAGCTCCAACTAATAGCTACAAGTATCGGTAGAGTCCATGCCAAAACATATGCGGCCCGCATGATTGAGATCTTGCAGCGGAATACAACTCTGACAAATGTCAAAATACGGCTGGCTTGGCACTATGGTCACATGTGCGAGAAAACCGAAAAGGATGAAATCATTGTCTACCACACAACACTCAACCGCTTTGGTAGGCATCTGTTGCGAGGTACGGAGAAGTCTCTGGACATGGCCCAACTAGTAACCTCGGTGATTTCACAAGCAGGCACTCCGAAAGGTGTCCGTGTCCAACAGCTTGTCCCATTGCTCTACGGGCTCTTGCGTGAAGCACCTCACAAATGGAGTTCCCCTCAAGCAGGAAAATGCAACAAGGCCAAGTTGAAGAGACCTGCCCTCAAACGCAAAGCCTCAAGTTCCCTTGACCGAAGTTCATCCAAGCACTAGCTAGTTCCTTTATTGTTTTTGTTTGCTTCATCTTTGACACTGGATCAGAGATCAATTTACAATATGCGCCGTAAAGCTCCACAGGCAGGCAGCTACTGCCAGTAATACTTAAAGTTCACAAAAGGCTGATTCCTCTATTCACGTCAGCCAGGGTCCTCTCTCACAAGGCTGCAGGACAAACTTCAGAAATAGCAAAGCACCAATTCTGAGCCCCACTCTGGCACATCTATCTCCAGGCAGGCCCTCTTGCTACTACTCATGGCCGCACTCCAGGCCCAACATCACGACATGGCCGTAGACCAACAAAACCATAGCAGTATGGTACATTC